CCGGTCTTGCTTGTCGACGTCTGCGCCGGCGTCGATGAGCGCTTGCACGACACCTTCGTGGCCCTGGATCCGAGTCAGCGATAGCACTCCCGCCCTGCGTCAGGCCTTGACTCACGAAGCAGCTGGCATATATCAGCGGCGGGGTCCCGTCTTCGTCCGGCGCATTGATATCGACATAGGCCTTTGCCTTGCCGCCTACGATGTTGCTGACCCTCTCGACGTCGCCATTGCTGGCAGCCATGTTCAGAGCTCTTTGCAGCGAGTCTTTCTTTTCGTCCTCGGACAGCTTTTCGTTTGCAAGTATTGTTTCTTCGTCGTCGAAGCCGGGCCCGACCCGGTGGGCGGCTTGTGCAGCAATCATCTCCATTAGGCGCGCGTCGCTGTTCTTGGGGCCGGCTGTAATGTCCTCGTCATAGGTGCGATTGTCTAAACTCAGGTCGCCAAAGTTGAGCGGCTTTGCGAGGACAGGCGTGGTCAGAAACTGTGATTGTCCTGTGTGATGTGTTGAGCGTCGTCAGTATGCGATTCCCCCCTCTTGCTCGTGGGCAGTGTGCGGATGACGTGGGAACCTCTACAAACCTTGCCATCCATCATACATCTCCGTCTCGGGAACCAACTCGACGGGACGGCGACTGCGGTCGTTGAGAGACTTGGGCAGGTCGTCTGGCAGTGGGCGTGGCTTCTTGTCGCCGAAACCACCACTAGCGTCCTCGAAGTCCATGGTGGGAGGAGGGGCAACCAGGAGGCCCGGTAGGCATTAATGAGTCGGCCGAGGGTATTGTTTTATGCGGTGCGAGTTTCGATGCAAGACGCGGGACGGGTGTTTGTGGGAAACAGCGCACGGAAAGTTTCGTGGCTCCAAGGTGAGATGTCGAGCGAGGTCTGTCTCTTCCGCACTGGATGGTAGAGGTAGTCGTATAGAATCGAAATAGCGCTCGGCGCCGCTACTGTCGTGTGATGTCGAAGTGTTCCGTGTCCAGTCGAGTTGTGTGTGCAGCGTGCCCAATCCCGGTCCCAGTCCTGTCCCATAGGAAAGCACTTTCAGTGCCCGAGTCCCGCAACGGTCCACGCCAACGGGGCCCAGTTCAGGCAAGGTATATGAACGACGGGCGATCGGGCTGTTGATGTCACTAATTGATTACAACGGGCACGTACGTTCCTTTCACGCACTGCCCGAACACCCAAATATTGGACCCAGGCGGCGCTGGAGGAAAGCTCTCCAGCGGCCCCCGCCTTGCTGTGTAATACAGCGTTCCGTCGGGTCCCACCCACTAAGCTTCCCCCTGACAGAACTTTACCACCTTGGGATCACTCTCTCCCATTAACACCTCCATGGCTTCATCATACGTACTTGGACTTTACATGCACTGATCATATCTCTTTGGAGCCTCAACAGCGGCATAAGTGAGAATAGTGAGGCTGTATACAGACCGTTACGCCTCTTCTCCCTTATATAGGTAGGCAAGGTAACCTACCTCATGATCAACCAGGCCGGACAAACCATCGGAGGACCGGCTTCACGCACACTCACCCACAGACATGACGGAGCAAGGTCGGTCCTGGCAAGACGTTAGTTATTCTTTTATTCGCTTAGTCCAATTTTTTTTTTTTTTAGATGAGATTTGCTCTTCTGTCTGTATTTATCTTTTTTTATTTTGGGTTTTTTCCTTCTTCGCAACCCATACTTCCGTGTTTGTAGAAAATCCAAAACACCGAATATCTAGCTTGCATATTCCGCTCCGCAATGTCTATGCTCTCTTGCCAAAGACGCGCAGTCTCTTCACTCCACCATCCGGAATAATGGTGATCTTGACGTGTGTGAACGCCTTGTCCTTGACGGCGCTGAGGAACTCGTGCTCCGCATCCGGTCCGCATTTGCTAGGCGCCACAATCTCCGTCCAGCCGGCAGCGTCCGCGCCAGGCTCGCCGCTCTCGATCCATGAGATGGCATCAATCTTTGACTTTTGCGGGAAATTACCACGGAAGTGCGCCGTGTCAACGACCACGTTCTGCACGTAACCGGGGGCGCCGAGACGAACAATGGTCCAGTCGACGTGGCCCTTGCTCCGCGATCTGGCCGTCTCCCATCCGTCTCCCATGTCCTTGCCGCGGCCCGGCAGCAGGAGGTTGTCCTTGGTGCCAAAGTGCTGATCGCTACAGGAGATGGCCACGCCGCCGTTCTGAGCGGCAGCCAGGTCGAAGATGGCCTCCTTGTCGTCGGGGAAGACGGGCACGGCGTGGCCAAAGAGGCGGAATCTAGCGATACCTCCGTCCGGGTACATGTTTAGACGAACGTGAGTGTACTGCTTCTGTTTGGGTTCGGCCAGCTTCCATCCAAATCGCTGCGACGGACCACATTCTTCGTTACCGAGGATCGTCTCCCATTGGCCCCTACCGCCTTTCCATGAGACGACCTCGTCGTCATTGAGGTTGAAGCAGCCCTCGACCGAGATTGAGGGGGCGTGGTTGCCGGAGAAGAAGGCAGTGTCGACCTCGACACCCTCGACAGTGCCCGAGGCAACACCGAGACGGACAATGACCCAGTCAAAGGGCTCCGTGTTGTGACGCCTGGTCTCCCAGCCGTCGTACCAGGCGCCGGTGTAGACCATCTTTCCCGGTTGCCTGATGGGTGCGGTTGGCGTCAGCAAGTTGGTAGCCTCGGCGAACCATTCATCTGAGAAGGCGAGAATCTTTCCACCCAGAGCAGCAGAGATCAAGTCTGGAGGGGAGAGTCAGTGCGTTTTCTTTGTTGCGTTGAGGTTCTCATGTGTACGAGGTCGGGTTGACGATGAGATCTCTCCTTCATTACTGACCAATACTGCTTGAGCGGAACGTTGTGTCAATTTCATCTGAGGCGACCCTAGAAGCCTTGACCTGCTCGAGGGTGTATTCTTGTTCGCTGGCCATGGTGAAGGTTGAATTGCGTGGTATCGAGAGAATTGAAGAGGGGTAGACCAGAGCAACTTGGGCGTGGGGTCCGAGTTTCACCAAGATATGAGTCCTTTGAGGGTGAATGGATGGACGGATTCCAAACTTGAAATTTGCGGATCTTGGACTGAAGGAAGGGAATTAGAAGAGAAGTGAATGAAGAATTGAATGTGAATATTATCGGTTGACGAGAAGTAAAAGCCGCGCAAGAGTCATGGCTCTGGCCGTTCGGCGTCTCGCCTCGCCCACGTCCATAGTTCTTTGAGCATTGCGCCGAGCGGCCATTTCCGAGGTCGGGCGGCCACAGCTGACGGCCGCAGTGGAGGGGTCGAGGGGCGACCGGCGGCCGGCGGCCAGCGGGCAGTCGCTGGCAGTCGCGGGCGATAAGCAAAAAAAAAAAGGCGTAATGATTCGAGTGAATTAGCTAACAGCCAGACGGCGGACCAATCTGCGACTTTTCCCGTTCGCAGCTGCTTTCCTTCTTCCCCGCAATCCCACCGGCCCAGTAAGTGTGACCCCGCTATTCGGTCGGCGGGGCGGGAGGCTCCAGGGAGAACTGACGCCGAGAAATTGGGGTCCAGCCCGATACGCGAGCCAAGGTCGGACTGGAGGCTCTGAGATACTGCCATCCGGAAGACTTCCCGATCTTTACTGAACATATGATAATATGATATGATATTATGGAAGCCCAGATTTTACTATGGAAGGTCTGTGTGCCGAACTACGTATAGGCCGCTCTCTCCCTCCCCCACTCTCTGTGTGTACACTATGCGTGTGTGATGTACATGGTTCAAGTCCAGTACTACGGTAGCAATCTGCAGCGTGAAAGTTTGGATTCTCTAAAACATCGATGATCCTGCAATCATGATGATCTGATAAGAAATGGCAACGAACGCTCCGACAACCATTACCACTGTCAGCCTGGTCACCCATTACGGGGAGCATGTTGCTGCTGCCTGCATGTCAAGATGTCGTATAGCGCGGCTAGGAAGAATTGCGAAAGAGAAACAAAGGGGGCAAAGAACCACTCCTCCTTCGTTCCATCACGTGAGCCGCAACGAACCCAGGCCGCATCAGCAACACCAACAACCAACCCCCTTCACACTCTTTCGTACGGGATGGATGACACGCACACTACCTGCGGTTCCAGGATGTAGCATACTGCAAAGTAGCCAAGGCAAGGCAGTGAATAGGTGTCAGTATGAGCTCTAATTCCTGGGCACACATCTCATGTCTTCCTCTATCGACCTCTTCGTTGGTCACCGTAGGACGTCGTCCGGCCGACCGCTTCCTCCTCCTCCTCCTCTTCTTGTTCTTCTTCTTCGCCATTGGCTCATTGGCAAGGTGCTGCTGTCTTTGACATTTTCAGACGCGCAACAGTCATCACCCAGACAGAAGCCGGACGCCGCTCATGCAGACGAATGCATAGACGACTAAATGGCAACAACAATGCGAACCGGCCCATGCTGGGGGGAAGCTTGAGAGTAACCGTCCTTAGCGTGCAATGAGGTGGCCAGCTGTGCGGGATGGTCGGTAAGATCGATTGTGGCGGTTGCCTGCACAGAGTACGTTCCTGCGGTACCTTACCCTTGCCCCGAATTCTACAGCGCGGACCAGTAGCGACAGGTTACCCCACCTGTAACCATTAGCGCACCGTTCCCTGCAGTCACCCCCTGCAACTGGTGCTCAATCCGAAATACACGGCCTCCGATAGGTCACAGCTCGAGACAACCTCGCCGTCATCGATGCCGCCATCGACGACCTCTCTAGACCTTTTCCGACCGCCAAAATGCCACCTTTTCCCTCACCCGCCTTACCCTCCTTCCAAACCCGGCTCCTCCTCAATGCTCAACGGTGCTGGAACACATCTTAACTTCAACAACGCTATGCGTGCTTAGCCCAACGTTGTTTCTTCATCTTGACTGACTCTGAGTACTTGTCACAAGTACAATTCCAATCTTCGTTTGCACCAATCGAGGATAGAAACCGTCGCACGTTGCGCCTCGCTCTTAGACATACAAAAAAGCATTCCTCGAGGTTGCTTTCACTTCCCACCGACGACAGCGACGACAATGTCCTCCGCCACAGGGCTTCCGGAACCACCCCCCTCCCAGGACCAGGAACGAGGCGATGGCGAGAATGAGTTGGAGCCTCTGCTCGGTCGACCTGGCGACGCCCAGCAGCCACCGGGCCAATTCATCGCTAAGAACCTTGTCATCGGTATGCTCTGCACGGTCGCACCCGTCCTTCCTCCCTTTGCCGTTTCCCAGTAGCTGATTTCCCAATTTTTGGCTGTAGGCACCGGCATCATCGCCCAGTTCGGCGCAGTCATCTTCGTCGCCATGATCTGGGCCGCTGTGCTGACCAAAGACGTAATCCTCTTCTCTGGCCATCCGCTCGCACAGAGTCTCGCCATCTTCACCCTCACCCAGTCGATCCTCTCGCTGCAGCCGACGCACACCCCCGACCAGAAGCGCGTCGGTCAGCGTGTTCACGCCGTCCTCAACCTGCTTGCTTTCTTGTTCCTCGTGGTCGGTGTTGGCATCATAGAGTACAATAAGTTCCTGCAGGGCCCGACCTCCCACTTCCACTCTGTTCATGGCTACCTCGGCGTCATCGTTTCCATCATCCTTCTATTGCAGTATATCGTCGGCTTCACGATGTGGGCTACCCCGAAGCTGTACGGAGGTGAGGACACCGCCAAGTCCATCTGGAAGTATCACCGCTGGAGCGGTTACGTCGTTCTTGTGCTCCTGCTCGTGACGGCTGCCACGGCCATTGACACATCCTTCAACTACACCGTTCTGAAGCTGAAGCTCTGGGCTGTCATCGTCACGTCCCTCTTGATTCTTGTGGGTATCATCCCTCGTGTGCAAAAGCAGAAGCTTGGTTTCTCGTCCTAGACATGGTGGATAAGGACTGCATCATTACCAGCTCACGGAGGAGGCTGGTCTTCGCACATCGCTCCCAGGTCAGATCCGCTCGTCTCAAATGAAGAACGATGAGAGAGATTGGGGTACTGACGGGGGCTTGAGAGGGGAAGGTTGGCAATTTGGCCAAACTGCAAGATATCGCACAAGCGTTTGCTTCTTTGGTGCGGTTTTCTCAGACTTCACATGTTGGGATCAACTCGCATGGGCTGTCGCTACCAGGCGTTGTTACTATGATTTATTGATTTATTTTTTATATTGCTCGTAGCGATCGCGAGTTCCGGAGTGGCTATCTAGTTATTTACGTAAGGTCATTTTAATGCTGCACTTCTAGATCAAATTGAATCACAGCTAGCCGTGTGCTCTGTACGACAAGAAGCCCAATTGGGTCATCTAAGGGGACGTTACCGCGGTTCAAGTCTTGTTTTTTTGGGAGCAGGAGTAGGGTGTGACTCGGTCATTACCCGTCGACGGGATCGACTACACAGACTTCAATGTGGCTTTGGGCATTATTGTATGTTTCACAATAATGGTCAAATAGAATTACATCGCTTCTATGCTGCCGGTCTAGCAATAACACTATGTATACGTTCTTTGCCGAAACAAACACTCAAGTAAATCATTCATCTGTCAATTCCATCATTCGACCTTCATATACATTAGTCGCTCCTCTGGGGTATACTGTCCGCCGCTACGTAGAATATCAGAATCCATACGCTGTACAAACAAGACGAGACGTCTCGCTCGTCCATTCATCGTCTCATGCATTTGCGCTTTTCCAAACATGAAAATACTCCTCCAAACGTCATGAGTATGCCCAAGAGGCATCTCCTCTCTCTCCCTCTGCCTCTTCATACCGACGACGTAGTGTTTCGCCTCATTACCATTCCCAACCTTTCAGTGGTCGGTGGGATTGAAATTATGAAATATTCACCATGCATGTGTCATGTCGCATGCCCTCCATATCCAAAATTCGTGCACATCGTTCGACCTTTCAGGCCGTCCAACGCGAAAGAGTGTAAAGAAAAATATTCAGAATGAGCCATGGGTGTCTCCGGCTTCGATTATGGGTGCGACCTCGTTGTGGGTCGTCGTTGGCTCAATGCGACTAGCTCAACCTCTCCGACTGTCATCGGTTCTCCGCTGCATAGTCCGGTGGATAGCGCCAATTGAATATGTCTTCACATACGGAGTACACAGCCACCAATGCCCAGGTATGGAGTGCCGTCGGAGCGAGCCGACCCGTTGCGACGGCATAGATGGTGGCCCAGACCCGTATGATATCACTGTCTTGAAAGTAGCACCAACGTTGCTACGACTGGACTTCGTTGTCAAAGTGCTCAACAAATCTGCTTCGGTACGGCCTCGTCGTGCCGCTTCCTCTCTTGGTAGTATGGCCTCCTCTCTAGGGGAAAGTGTTTCCGACAGGCATGGGCCAGTCGTCCTCGGTAATGCTGGACCAGAAGACCCAGACTGCTACGACCGCAAGCAGGGTGAACAAGGTTTCGAAGAGCGCACCGTCGATTGCACCATCAGTGCCAGTGCAGATGTGAGAGCTCACGACGTAGTTGAAGATTTGGCCAATAGCAAAGAGAAGCAAGGCCGCGGTCAGGTAGATCATCGGTCGCATCTCGCCTAGAACCCGGACGACTAGGATAGCTTCGAGGACGAAAAACGCCACGAGGAAGATTAGCGGCGCAAGCTGGTACAAGACATACAGTGCGATATGGCGGTTTGGCGGGTTGTATGATGAATTCCAGTGATTCGTCCACTTGAAGCCGGTGTCAAGCGTGATGTAGAGTGTACCGCCCAAAAGGATGGTGGCTGAAGCAATGATCAACCCCATAGACGTTGGCGTTCCATCGTCGACAATTTGATAGCCAACGACCGCATTAAGCATTAGGATCCAGGTCGACGCAATAATCATACCAATATGAATTCCGGTGAAAGCCTATACGCTAATTAGTATGGTTGCCCCCCAAAGTTCTGGCTCCATCCAACAGGGGGAACTGACAATTCGAACATTTTCAGCCAATGGAAAGTCTCCAACGGTGAAGATTTCGCAAATTTCAATGATGATGAAGCTAACGAGGAACAATTGCATTTCTCTGTGCGTCAAGGTTAGCATGGCGGTCGGGCGCAGTGCATGAGCGACGTCTCGGGCTTACCTCCGACCAACTGCAGCTTTCTTGCGCTCAGACCGAAGTAATAGAAAAAGCGTCACGACGATGGCAAGGGCGGCAATGAGAATCGAGCCGAGATTTCCCAGCTTGCGGCCTCCACTGAGAGAGATTCCCTTCAACACGCATTTGTCCCACGGCCCGGATTGACTGTGGTTGTTGGATAGCACCTAAGGCATAACCAGTTAGTTTGCGTTGCGTAAGCTCGCGAAAGCTCGGCAGAGCATATCGCGAGACGTCGATTCAACATTCAACCTACATTGCAGACGGGCAGTGTTGAGTCTCGGCAGAAGTTCTGTGAACTTGGTTAGCATCGTGATAGGCGAGGAGCGACGTGGCGGGCACTACTTACAAAAAAATTGCCAAATTCTGTTGATCCCATTGTGGCTGACGTCTGTGGCGAAACTAACGGCTGCGTGCCAACGGGTGTTCCCTTCCTTTGAACGTCAAATGCGCCCAAATTCGAAGAGCTTTTGTAGGCGGCAAGAACAACAAAGGCTTTAATGTCTCGAGGACGAGTGGGTTCGAACTGCGTAGCTAGTATTAGAGTCGCGTCGTGGAGGTGCACATAGAACGGCGAGGCGGTAAAACGGTAACGGTCGGCTGATGGCCACGAGTCTTGTTGCTCCTCGGTTGAGGTTGGTGATTGTCTGCAAAAGTTGGCGAAGATGAGGAATATGTTATCGGGTGGCTGGTTGAGAGAGCGGGTCCTGTTTCGCAGCCTCGTTTTCAATCCTTCCCCCGTAAACGCGATGCGACTTCCCTCTCGGCTGATTTCGAGGTAGCGGTTGCTCGGCTTTCGATGACCGTTTCTTCTCTCGCAGTTCCCACTTGTGTGGATTGTCGGTCCCGCGATAGTGACTGTCGGCAGGAATGCGCAATGGTTGAAGGATGATGCGACTGAAAGTCTCGATTGGTGTCGGATTTTGGGGGACGCGGTTTCTTTGGGGATAAAGTAGGACGACAGCGAGGAAGACGGTGGGTAGCAGATGCAGGCAGGTTGCAGCTGGGGGTGCAGCTGGTTTCGCAGGCGCAAATTAACGGGAAAGGCGTGAGGGACGTCGGAGGCGGCGCAGTGGGCGGTGGGACAATATAAGCCAAGTGAGTTAAGAGTGGAGGTGTTTAGTCCTAGAGAGGTTTCGTGCGGTGCCCTTCGAGTAATAGCGCTGATGGGCGATTGACCGGGGGAGAGGATTGACAACTGGGTAAGTAGTGAGGTGGTGAGGTACCTTAGCAATGGCAGGAAAGCAGGGAGGAGGGCTGCTAAGGCAGGAACAAGGTACAGGCAGGTACCTGGGGAATCATGCCTGAGGTGGGGGGATAGCCTTCTTAGCGAAGCACTGGGCTGAGGGACCTCGGATAAGTACCTTTAATGTACGAGATTGCTTCCAAGTGCCCGTTGCTGTCTTAGGTAGCTTTGGGGGGGAGGGGGCCCAGCTTGAGGACGGGGGTACGTCCCGAGCGTCTTCTTCTTTCCTTCCCTCTTTACTCACCTTACACCGTAGCACGTCGGGCAAGGAATTGGAAGGGTATCTTCAGCTGCTTGTCACCTTCCAGACTTGAAATCGACAAGGCACCTGAGCACCTGAACTTGAAGCGACAGAGCTGGGCGCGTCTAATGGAACTGACAAGATTTGGATGCAAGTGTACAAAGTCACTCACCAGCCGCGGCCCACCTGGACTCCTGGAGAGGGTTTGAGGCACTCGAGACTCGACGTATTCCGTGCCTACCTAGTAGGTTTTCTTTCCAAGTTTGCTGCGATGAATTACACCTTTGGTAGTGTATCTGCACTGTAGGTAATACCTCACCACACCCCTGGCTGGTGACGCTAAGCAACTGGCGCTTCCGAGCTGCAGCTGCACGCGCCATGATTGGACGATGCAGCCACTTGGGACGAAAGATTTCCAGGCAACTCGCCAACAATTGGCGGGTCCTTGCGACGTGTAATTTGGCGACCCCCCGGTCTGGTGTCCTCTCCCCTGCTTTGAATCTTTTGGTTGCAGTTCTCTCTGTATCACGGCAGTGCAGCCACTGCTCTCGTACTCACCAGCCTCTTGCCGCATCTGTTCATTTTTATTTTCGAGACAAGGAAGGAAAATAGGCAGCCCGGGGCAGATAGATTCGCGACAGGCATTCATAGGTAGACCGCGAGGCACGAATAGAGCGGGTTTCCAAGTGCGACGGAGACGACGCTCGTTTGATGTCGTACACCAGATACGGGTGGGAACTACTACCACCACCTCCTCGCCGTCTTCCGGTCGGCCCTTGGTAGTGTGGCAGATACGGAGTATACGCCACCTCATTCGCGCTCGACAGTTACGCATCATCACTATATCCTCCGTACCATCACTGCGACTCAATAGCCGCTGAGTACAGTGTATCTACCTAGCTTAGCTCATCGGAAAGCTCTATCCTCACCGTCGAAATAATTGATCCAAGGCTGCCCTAATACCAAATGAAGCCTTGTCGTCATTCAATTCAAATGGAGAAGATGGCATCGCAGCAACCCGACTCGGGACAGGGGATGGCAGAGGGAAAGAAGGGTGACTCGAGAGACGGCTGAATAGGACCAGACAAAAGCAAGCGGAATCGTATGTTGCGCCATCTCGGGGCCGATTCGTCGAGTACCCACGCTGTAAGAAGAGCAGGAGCTGGCTGGGTCTTGGACTCTTGCGCCGCCTTGGCAATAAAGCCGGTAAATTGGCGGCTTTCATGCGCGATGAGCTGGGAAGTCGCCATCTGCAACATCACACCTCCCTTTCGAGTTTCGCAGCCATGGCATTCCCCTTTCTTCCCATAACCACCGTACCATGTTGCTCTACACAGTACGGGTGGGCATACGGATACACCACCTTCCTTCCTCATCCTGTGCTAATTATCCTCTTCATCTGTATTCGCCCACTCCCTCGCCATACCTCCACGGCCGTCGCAAACTCCATGATCGTCACTTGCCTGGCCCTCCCCACTCCCTGTGCTCCACTAAGAGCCCAGCATTATTGAAGCGTCACGGCGTCGGCCCTTGGTCCTCTCTATCTCTTCCCTTTACTCCAGTTGCGACGGCCCATTATCCGTACCACTACATGCTATCCATTCCCGTCGTGTTTCGCAACGACAGCGCATCCGAATCAAACGCGCTTCAGAGGTTCAGCTCAGCTCGGCCGAGATATCGGTATTCCCTCGCCCTACGGATGCAGCACCCTGGAGCCTGTGCTTCGCATTCCTTTACAGCATCTCGAGACCATCGCATGGCATCGCAAGGTACAAAGTACCCACCGAGAGACACCGTGCATCACTCCACACCTAGCGCATCGTTTATCGTACACCGTCTCATCAATCAAGATGCGCCACCACCCAATTCCCAGCAGACCCGCGTCCACCACCCTAGCACAGACTCATAGCCCTCATCAGTGTCATCACTAGTGTAGGTAATAAGATGTCTCTGCACCCTACACGTTCCACGGCCGCAAGTATCAAGCTTGACCTGCCGAGCTGCTCTGTCCACAGTCCACGCCGACGACAGAGTACTGCTCATGGCTTCAATTTCGCTTGTTCCCGGCCCGATCCAACTCTTGCGCACTGCATCGGGAATCGCATGCAGGCGCAGGAGAAAGATCTTTACAGCGGATAAAACTCGATCGATAATCCAGGAGGAAAGCCTTGCAAACGTTTGGCTCTACGGCCTTCAGTAACGACTGCCCACCTCGCAAATGCCGCCAACTGGCCACCCGTTGCCGCCCGGATCCAAAACAAGAGCCATCTGTACATCAGTCGCCTACCTACCTCGCACGTGTCTGCCGCACGCATTCAACGTCTGCTAGCCAACGGCCGCCGCCCAATGAAAGCATCCTGAACCAGTTTCGTCGCCGCTTGGCCAATGAGATGGCCCTCGCAACTGCAGGGAGTCTGAACCAGCGTTCCGACTCTCGAATACTTCCTGGATCTTGTCACCTCAAGCTCCATAGGTGCAGAGGAAGACAAAGGACACCTCACACCGGTCGTCAGAACCTTGGTACTCGCCCCCGCACATCTTGCAAGCAAGCCTGCCAGGGGGAAGTAGCTTGGTAGCACACTCGCACACCGCGGCCGGCTCGAACGGAACCAAGCCGGGACAGGAAGGCCGCTAGCCTCGACCGGGCCCCAGCCTCCAAACTTTGGGGTTCCTCGGTCAGGGCTGTTTTTTTTTTCCGTCTGGTTTTATCCGTAGTCCGCTGAACTATCGCGAGGCCCTGTAGATAGCCCACTTCACACTCAAATGTCGGATATCAAATGCTAGACAACGGACACCGCCCATTAACGCGTCTTACCAACCTGTCCATCGCCTGTCCACCGCCTGTCCACCGCCTCGCAGTCTACCGGTGCTCCCACCTGAACGCGGCCCACGATGGCTTAGCCCCAGATCGAATTTTCGGCTGGCTACACTTCGAAGCAGGGGTCTTCCCATGGTTTCGATAACAATCGAGAGCGCCCTCGTTATTTCAATGAGCCAACACACTGCAGAACCTTCCTGCAGCGAATTACTATTTACCTACGGATACTCTTACAGGCTTGTCGCCGTGGCTGTCAAATCTTTGCCACCAACCAAGCCATCTTTCAACGGCATCCGCTCTTTTGGTACTGTGGGTGTCATGGGTCACATATTGTGTTTTTAACGGACGGGAAAATCTTTTCGATTTGTTGATTGGAATGACGCAGTAGGAGCGCATTGACCCAAGCCGGTCGTGGGCTTGAAGGGCTGAGATGGACTGCAACTGACTGGAGCAAGACGTCCCATGAGGGTCCCATACTCGACGAGACCGAGGGTCTCCCTACCATTGAATGGAGTATGAAGTTTGTTCGGACACGCAGCATAACACACCGCCCCTCACTGAGTCTCTCGACAGTACGTCAATTGATTCAACAGCATGAAGATTGGCTCTGCCACTGCTTCGGCCTTTCGCCGCTCCGTCTTGCCACTCGGTATAGCGGTTGCGGACTGAAGAATTTACGTCTGAACATCCTGGCCGTGCTGAAGAGTCGTTCTAGAATCTGGCAAAACTTCCTTGGTGGCAACCCTCGGGCCTCCAACACTCTGGACAGCAGCGCGGCACTTTGCGCCACTCTCTCTGCGGGATTTGTAAATGTGGCAGTGCGTCTAACGTCGGACAACCACAATCTGCCTTCAACCCATGCAAGACACCTTGCGAGGAGGGGGTTAATGGCCAGACCATGGCTTGTGTTAGTGTACATGAAAATTGCCACTTCCAGGCGCGGACCCAAGGATGGGATATGAACCTCACCAGCAGTGGCACAACCTTTTTATACTTCTTATGTCGTCTCTCGGTAACTGTGGCCAAGCCTTCGCAGCGTACGTGCCGCCCCGCCAATGTGGCGACTGAGGAACAAAATTAGAGTTATTGGATCCCTCGCGTCGATCATCGCCTACCCTACCCTCAACTGCGCGGGGTGTCATGTATAAGTGTGTCTTCATACAAATGTGCAATGCGGATTATGGAAACCTCGTGGAGGCCTCGTGGAGGGAAGTAAGTGGGCGCAGATTTACAATTGATTTCGAATGGACGGGACCCCAGAGTCCGTCGTTTCCGATTCGGAAAGTTGTACTTGATCGAGCTACTACTAGTGAATCTTCGGCTTTGTAGATGGCAGACTCAATGAATGGTGTAGTTGAGCTTCTGTCTCAGCAGCAACCCTCGCAAACGGACTTGGTATTGTGTCCAGTGCCACCCAAAGACGATGTGGCCGCTTCTGCAGGACTAATATACAAGAACTAAGAGGTTTTGAGCTTGTGTCTTTGACGGAGGTGACTTGCTTATGGGAATGTCCTTTGGCACTCCCTTCGCCTCGACGTTTTGAACCAAGGAAATATCTGGATTAGAAAGTGTTCCAGGTCCCGGTCAATTCGAAATTACCCAAGGACTTGAAAATCTTGAACCCGCGATTTCTTGACGTCGGTCACGCTGTCAGCCGGTGTCAATCAAACCTAGATACCCCTGTGAACAGGCCTCGCTTTTTGACATAGACGTCGCTAACCAGAATCCAAAGCCATCAGCTGATGAAGACATAATCACGATGTTACAAATCTGTAGACGTCTTTATAAGTGATCCCAAAAAGGTACGGCGTAGATTTCTCTTCCAAGTAGATTGATGACCTTGGCGCTGAGGCCCTGCGATGGGAGTGACAGCCAGCAAGTTTTGCGCCTCGCCAAATGTATCTACTACCACTGACGTTATCCACAAAACCCGGCATGAAGTTAACGGCACTGGCAGACTAATGGAAAGCACCACGGCTGGAATGATTCACAAGCCCAATGAGTTGAGAAGCGCAGGAAGGTGGATGGAAGGAAACGAACGCCTTGAAATGTCCCTCTCTTATCTTATCGCACCTTCATGTCCACCACATCATGTCATCCAATGGAACCTGGAAGTCGCTTACCTGGCGGATTTGGCACGTACCTTACGGATACACAGTACCTTAGGTTGGGTACGGGCGCTTCGCTAGCGGCCCCCGCTTGGATGCAGCCGCGAGTGGGTGCCCGATCAACGCAGCCAAACATTGAGCAACAGCGCCGACGGCACCGCTGCTTGGGGCTGGTTGCTCCGCAACGGCTAACAAAATAAATGCCGTCAACCTCGATTGGCAGGGGCCCATCAAAGTGAGCGCCCCCCGAACAACATCTCACCGCACCACGTCGTCGTCACATCCACACTCTTCCGCAGCCCCATCCACATCCAACTCCCCCGGGTAACAAACATTGAAGCCCCCACCGGCTCTTAAGACAGCGCCCACCCATATCACCGCTGTCACCGACTCGACCTTTGCCCTGGATCACAGAGTCCCGGATGACCTTGACTTGACATTACCTCGTGTTGCTTTGCTTTGCGTTGCGCATTCGCTCTCCTCACCTCCCGCAGAGCTCCTTTAGATCTGCTTGCTCCTAGCTATTACCGCTTTACGCCATTCCTGCTTGTGCATTGCGGCGGCGCTCACGCACGACTAACACCATAATCCCATCATCACCACCCAAGTGCCTAGAGGACTGTGTCGCATTGCATTGACTTACGTACCTCGCGCCCGCATTCCAAGGCCTCTTAGCCTCACCACCAACATCACCCACCCGACCTTGTTCACATTCCACTCACCTCGTCGCCCCTTTCGAGAACAATGGCGCCCGTGGAGCGCGAAGCTTCCAGGGACGCTGATCGTCCTCTGAGACACAGGCAATCAATGTCGTCTGATCAGGGCAGAGCTCTGGTGCCCATGTAAGTCGCCGAAACACACAAAACCTCCTCTACCGTCACACTTATTCCCTATACACCCCGTTCATGATGCGCTGGCCATGTCTGCTATCTGGCGTAGACTGATGAAGACCAGGTGGGACAGCTCAGATCCCGACAGGGCACCACCGCCTTTGCCCATGAATCCGCAATCGCCAGTTACAACCTCTAGAAAAGGAACTTCTGTTGCCATTCAGTCTGCCCACGCCGCTCTGAACGAAAGGGCTCGCGAAAGCGCCATGCTTCCGGCACCCTTGACCAAAAGGAATACAGAAACCTCCCCCGAGCGTTCTCTTATCAAAGGTTCCCACCACAAACGCATGCAATCCCTACAACCAGGAAACGTCAGAGACCTTAGCCTGCTGTTGGAGAGTGGCCAGCAGTCCAATCCCCCGTCTCCAACCAAGTCCCCCGAGCGGACGCGTCCTTCCACCCCGGCAGCGAACAGAAGAGACAGCTTTGCCGATACAAGAAGAGACAGCTTTGCCGACAGCCGAAGAGATAGCTTTGCAGACCTGAGATCTACGGAGAGAGAGGCGACCACGCCGTCTTCAGTTCAAAGTCAGACGCCAGTCGCGCGTCCGGCAATGAAACGACAACAACAAAGCATTTTGGGTGAAAACACACCTCCGCAATCTGCTACCATGCTTGCCATACAGAATATGCCGCTTCAAGGTCAGCAGGAAAAAGAGAACGTTGCAAATGGCTCTACTGCACTCGTCAAGGCTCCTCAACAGGTCGAAGCCCTTTCAGGGCAGATCCTGAGCCTCACTGGTATCGCTACAGCTCTTCAGAAAGACATGGCCCAATTGAGCCGACGCAGTCGCGACAATGCCACCGACTTGCTGAGCCTGAAGGAAGCAACAAAAGCTCGGGACGAGGATATCCGCAAGAGCTTGCGCGAGCTCATCAATAATGCCCAGGATGCAGCGAGCAGCAGGCCGAGCTCTCGCGACCCCTTTGTCAACAGCTTGTTCCTCGATAGCAAGCCCCACCACACTTCCCCTCCACCAAGCAAATCTGGACGCCCTTTTTCTCTGCCTAGAATTCCTTCACCCAATAGCTTTGCGGCAAACATAGATCGAGATGCCTTGAGTACGCCCTCGCTTTGTAACTCAGAGTCCCCGACTACCATCGCGATACTGGACAAGATTATCAGGGACATGGGTACGAAGGAGGGACACGACCTTCTTCTTGCTCGCCTGACTGACGTTGTCGAGAAGCTTGCTGGAGTGGCGCCCGCTTCAAAGGTCGATGAGCTGATCCAGCTCGTCAAGACTAAGCCAGCTGATGCCATTATCTCACGAAGTGGCGGCGGCCATGGAGAGAGCAACAGGAACTTGCCTCGCGCAGCTGGCTTCGACGATGATACCAACAGCATGGACTTTGATTTCGACCCTGGATACGCAAGTCAGCTCACCCACCGATCCGAGAGGGCGTTATACAACGAGCCTGCCTCAAGATCTGCTGCGCCATCTGCCAATGCTTCTGAGATTGTCAGTGACGAAGTGCTCAAAATTATTCGTACCGTCAAGGATAGCGTAGCACAGGGGGGCGGCCTTACTGCAGAAGTCAAGGCTCTCGTCCGGGAGCTTCGTGGCGAAGTCCTCGGTATGGGACGGGAAATTGGTAGGAGACTGGACGAGGCCCACGCGCAACCAACGTCTGCCGAGCCTTCGACCGATAATGACGAAATTTCGAAGATTGTACACGAGGGCCTCGAACAGATGAGAGAGCACATGGACGAGCTTCTTCGTGAGCATCGACGACAGTCCGCCAACTCTGTGTCGTCAAGGGCAATAGCAGTCGACTATCAAGAAATTTATAATGCTATGAGAGCAGCGCTCCGAGATTCTCAATCATCGCAGGAGAAGGAGCCCGATCTGAACCGGGAGGATGTCATTGAGGCTGTCAGGGACGCCTGGGAAAACTATAAGCCAGAGATTGAAAACCAAGATCCCGGCCTCGGGCGGGAGGAGATCCTAGAGTACCTCAAAGAAGGCTTGCAGGACTACGTGGACAGGGACCAGGGGCCCGTGGGAGCCTCGCGAGAGGAGGTTTTCCAAGCAGTCGTTGAGGGTCTCAAGCATTTCTCACCGCCTCGCGTCGAGACACCAGCAAGCCTCTCGCGAGACGAGATTCTCGAAGCTGTTCGCGAGTGTCTGGAGGAATTCGAGTTCCCTGTTGCCCCATCGGCATTCACCCAAGAGCTCACCCGAGAGGACATGCTTCAGGCGGTCAAGGAAGGCCTCAGCGGATACGATCTGCCCAGCGCCGGAGCTCTAGTACCCCACCAGAACAACAACGAGGAGGTCGTCACTCGTTTGCAGGAGATCCTTGAGTACATGCGTGGGGAATTCCGAGCAGTGACAGAGGATGCAAAAGTGAACGCCGCCGCCAACGGACGCGATACTGAGCAGATTCTGGATGCCACCAAGGACGGTCTGGAGAAGCTTCGTGCCGACATGGAGGCATTTGTCAGTCATTTGAGCGGCAGCACCGAGCAAGAAGACATCACCCAGACTCTTCTCGGCACATTGGATACCTTCAGAGACGAGATGGCTTTGTTGGTCGACCGCGTTTCGAGCGATTCCAGGTCGACAATCGAGACACACATGGAGTCACTCCGCGATACTGTCAACTCCTCCATGGTGCCAGTAACTCCACAAGTCAACCAGAAGGAGATCATCGAAGCTGTAAGAGAAGGAATTGACAGCGTGCGTGCAGAGCTGCGCCGACCCTTTGCCGGAGTCACGGACATTTTGGACGCTCTTCATGATGGCTTGGCGGATGTGCGCATCAGCATCGATAAGGTCGCGAACCGGCCAGCCGATCTTACAGCCAACGATGAGATTCTCGATGTATTGAAAGCCGGGCTGGACAACGTTCGCTCGGAAATCGATAGCCTTCGGGAACAGCAAGGCCAGAACGACAAGGCTTTGACGACCATGCATGACGGCGCTATTGTCCCGGCTGATACCCTCAAGCAGGATGACATCAAGAACCTCGAGGTACTCATCACCCAGCTCCGGATCAAGATCGAAGCCATGGAACCTGCGAACGCCGACCCTGTCGCCAAAGACGATCTTACCCGTATGGAGGATATGCTTCATTCTCTTCAGGAATCTGCATCCAAGGACGACATACTCCGTCTCGAGGACATGCTTCGACTCGTACAAGAGTCCGTCTCTAAGGACGAGACTTCCCGGATCGAAGAAGTCTTGCTCAATGCCCAGAATTCCGTGACCAAGGAGGACGTAGCACGTCTGGAGGAAGCAATTCAGCCAATTCAGGAGTGGGTCAAGTCCAAGGAGAGCCCGGTAAGCACCGATGCTTCAACCAAGGAGGACGTCCAAGCGATTGAAACCATCCTTCGTAATACCAAGGGTCGGCTGGACGATCTCATCGATAATGAGCAAGCTGTGCGAAAAGAGCACCTGGACAGCCTGGAGAACACCATACTGGAAACCAGAGAGGCCATCAATCTCATTACAACGCAGCTGGATTCTCTCCCGAAAAGGGATGACGTGACATCCGTGGAAGCATTGGTTACGCAAGTTGCTGCAGGCTTCGAAGAAATGAAGGAGAGCGCTGCCAAGCAATTGGAGGATCCCGAGCGTGTCACCAAGACTGACGTTGAGGCTGTGGAAGCCGCATGCCACGATATCAAGGACGTATTCGACCAAATGCTCAAGACGGATATGGCGGTCCTAGTCACCAAGGAAGATCTGAAAAAGACACAGACGACCTTGGAGGAACTCAAAGGCCCCCTCCAGGCTTTGGTTGTCCTGGAGGGGCTCAAGGAAGGACTGCAGGAGGGTATCAAAGCCCCATTGGACGAGTTGAAGACTGAACTGAAGACGGAACTGAAGACTCCGATGGAGGAGCTCAAGACTCCACTCGAGGAGCTCAAGACACGACTTGACTCCCTGACCGAGTCACACGACAAAGGGGGCGAAGAGCGCCAGGCCGAGATTGTCGGTGTTGGCGAACGTGTCACCGAAGTCAAGACCCTCCTTGGAGAGTTCCGGGATTTGGTCAACGGCAAACTCGAAGAGGGTGCCACTGGAGTCGAAAGCCTCTCAAAGCTGCTCGAGGGTGTGTCGACAGCAGTAGAGAACAACGCATCCGTGAGCCAGGACCTGAAGGATCTCTCTGACATGATGAAGATAGAATTCGAGGAGTCCAAGGCCGGCGTAGTGGGTGCTAAGTTGGAGTCCGACGAAAAGTTCCAGCAAACCACCGATGCTCTGAGCGCCAAGATTGAGGAAAATGTCACGGCTCTAATGACCAAATACGATGAGTTTCACGTTGCCCTCGATGACCGCGCAAAGGCCGGGGAGGAAAGAGATGCCAGCACTGAAGAGGCGGTCCTGGGTACCAAGGCTGTTGCCGAAGAGCTCAAATCTCTCGTTGACACACTTGGCGCTGCAGTTACCGATTCGATGGAGAAGATGGAGGAGGCGTCCAAGACCGTGTTCACTAGGGTTGAGGATCTCATGATGAAGTCGGAGGAGAACCATTCGGATGGGAAAGCCGAGCACCAGCAAACTCGGGACCACCTGAAACAAGCTGTCGAGGCCGTCGAAGGTATTCAGGGTCAGCTTGTTGAATCCCAGCCTCAGATCCTGGAATCGATCAAAGATGTCTTGCTCATCGTCGGTCAACATTACGATTACGCCAAGACGTCAACAAACGACATCCAGAAGACAATCGAGGATGCTAAACCAGTCGAGCTCGCTCTGCCACCAATTCCCGAGAAATATGACGACACTGTGGTCCTCGAGAAACTTACCAAGCTGATCGAGCATTCCGAGGTTCCGGTCGAGAAATATGATGACGCAGGTGTTCACGAAAAGCTTGACAAGCTCGTCGAACATGCTTCAGTCCCTCCTGAGAAGTACGACGACGCGCCAGTACATGAGAAGCTTGACAAGATTGTGGACCATGTTTCTACGCCAGTAGAGAAGTACGACGATACGCCCGTTCATGAAAAGCTTGACAAGCTTGTAGAACATTCTCAAGTGCCTGTCGAGAAATACGACGATGCGCCAGTGCATGAGAAACTTGACAAACTTGTAGAGCACTCTCAGGTGCCTGTCGAGAAGTACGATGACACGCCCGTTCATGAGAAACTCGACAAACTTGTGGAGCACTCTCAGGTGCCTGTCGAGAAGTACGACGATACGCCAGTGCATGAGAAGCTTGACAAACTCTCTGAGCAGCAGTTGTTGATCCCAACGGAGAAGTACGACGACGCAGTGGTCCATGAAAAGCTCGACAGGATTGCTGAGTTCCAGTCTCTGCTCCCAACCGAGAAGTACGACGACGCGGCGGTTCAAGAGAAGCTCGACATGCTTGCCTGTGGGCAGTCTCTGATCCCCACGGAGAAGTACGATGACGTGGCAGTGCATGAGAAGCTGGACAAGCTCGCTGAGCAGCAGTCGTTGATTCCAACCGAAAAGTACGATGACACAGCAATTCGGGAACAGCTAGGAATTCTAGCCGAACAGCAGTTGCTGATCCCGACCGACAAGTACGACGACGCAGCTGTGCGAGACAAGCTGGACAGTATTGCCGAGCAGCAGGCTTTGATTCCCATCGACAAGTACGACGATGCGGCCGTTCACGTGAAGCTGGACGAGCTTGTTGACCATAGTCACGCTGCTGAGAAGGCGCTTGGCCAGCTTGACACTCTTGAAAAGGTCCATCAGCAAGTAATTCAAACAGCCACGGACATCTCGCTCTTCCTTGCTAGCCAGGCCAAGAAGATCAAAGAGGAAGAGGACGACAGAGAACAGACCCTCCAAGAAGTCACCATCGATCTAGAACGCAAGTTTGCTCTCAAGGAGCAGATCGAGGCCAGCTTGCTGGATCTGAAACAGGAGGAAGAGAGACTTAGGGCTTCTGTTCTCGGACTGCGAACGGAGCAAGAAAGTCTCATTCGCCAGAAGACAAGGCTCACAGGTGATGTCTCGTCTCTAGAGACTGCACTGCACATTCGTCGAGACGAGCTTCACGACATGGAATCTCGTGCCGAGGGGCTGGAGCGCCGCATCCTGGAAGGCGTTATGGACCATTCCCGCGTCCTTCTGATGTCAAAGGCTACCAAAGGGCGCGACGCTATGAGCCGTAAGCGTGTCCGGGACCAGAAGCCGGGTCAAGAGAACGGGGTGCCTGAGAAGCCTGCATCCCCTGCCGTCAACTTGGCTCTTTCTGCCAAACGCAACCTGAAGCCTCCATCGCAAGCGGGTGCTGCCCGCCGCATCCTGTCCCTGAGCCAGATTACGAACAATGTGCCTAGTGGTGGTGTTCAGCGCAGCCAGAGCGTCAGGACTGCTGGTGCGAAGGGCCATCGCAAGTCTAGCTGGGCTGGAGGCTTTTCGAAGGGCTACGGAGATCTCGACAAGGAGAACATGTCATTGAAGGAGACTGAGGAGGAGAATATGCCCAGTCCCACGCCAACAATGCACGAAAATCCAGCCAGTGGCGATGATCCCAGTGATACCGAGACATTGCGTCGTAGCAGTCATGGCAGCCGTATGAGCCGTGGAAGCCGCGGTACAACTGTCGTAACGGAGAGCACCGACAACTATACTGGCGACGGAGACTATTCAGACTATTATGACGACAACCAAAGCGATTTACAGAGTGACCTCCAGAACGAGTGGACCGAGAGTGTCGTAAGCTCAAACGTCAGTTCTAATCTCAATTCAGACGTTGGCTCCAACCTTAGTCAAGAGACTCTCAATGATGAGGTCGCAATAGTGGGGGAAGCGGCCTGAGGTGGCGAGATTGGTGTCCATCAAACGGCGCCTATCACATGGAAACATTGACGATTACTGAATAACGCATGAGCCAGTTTGGTAGGCGTCATCTGGGTTTAACGGCAGTTTGTATCAAAATGGAGTTACTGGGTTTCCTTTCTCTTTTGTCTGCAATTGGTAATGCTAGGATGGGCCCAGTCAATGTCTAGTATTGTAGGTAGTGTTTTGGGAGTAGTAAAGTACAGAAGTAGCTCCTCCTCGCGACTGTTTAATGCCACGGGATGACCATGCGTTTGGTAAGCGTCTACGCCTCGGACTTTCTTTCCGAGACGCGCCAGATGCACGTGGGCATTGCTTATTATTATGTCTGGAAGTGCGAATAAAGGTGTTGTTACAAGACACAATGTACCTGTACTCAGTCAAAGTAAGGAGTTGTGAAGTGTGCTATGAGATAGTCTTCCGGACGATCTTTTCTTTTCCATCCATCCAAGGCTGCAGGCAAGTTGGAATGGAGACGGACATTTCCTGTTCGTTCCATCCGGCTTCCAAGAGCGCAGCTAACACTCTCGGGACAGCGAGAGCAGTGCCGTTGACAGTCCAGGGGAATGTGAGCTTGCCGTCAATCTTGGCCCGCGTGGCGAGCCTTCGCGTCTGGTAGTCGGTGCAGATGCTGGCGGACGTGACCTCGCCCCAACCGTCGTTCTGTTCCTGCCGAGACGGGAAGAAGGCCTCGATGTCGCACTTGCGGACGGCAGAGGCACCGAGGTCCGCGGTCGGCATCTCAAGGACGCGGCAGTGCAGGCCTAGAGACCCGAGGATTTCGGTTTGGATGTCGAGCATCTCTTCAAACACGTCGACAGTCTCGTCGGCGTCTGGCGGGGTCCAGGCGAACATTTCAACCTTTGTGAACTCGTGTACGCGGTACAGCCCCTTTGTGCTCGCGCCGCGGGCGCCGGCCTCGGCGCGGTAGCATCGAGAGACGGCGACGCGCTTCATCGGGAGCTCCGAGGCGTCCAGGGTCGTTTCGGCCTTCATGCCCGCCAGGGGGATCTCCGAGGTCCCCGCGAGGGAGAGTTCTGGCTTACCGCGGTCCGCGTCGGCCTGGGACTGCGCGAGGGCGTAGATTTGCTGCTCGCCATTTTGGTCGCGTGGCTGGAAGCCGCAGGCCGAGGCGATGTGGCTGTAGACGACGCTGGGCGGAGCGACCTGTCGCCAGCCGTGTCTCGTGGCGACTGCGAGGGCATACTGGACGAGGGCCTGTTCCAGCTGAGCAGCCTCGTCGAGGAGGTAGTACCAGCCCCAGCCCGAGGTGTTGCCGGCGGCGGCGAAGTCGAGCAGGCCCAGTTCCGAGCCAATGTGGACATGAGATCGCCACACCTTGTCCGAGGCGCTGGGCGTCTCGGCCGGGTGTTCGTTGATGTAGCTCAGCAGCCGCGGCTCATCGCCGACGGGGGTGACCTCACTGGTGAGATTGGGGATGGCCAGGGCGAGGGCCTCCATCTCCTCGACGAGCTTCGCCTCTTCCTGCTCCACCGCCGAGAGCTTCTGCTTGAGCACACGCGCCTCCTCGAGCAGCTCGTCGCGAGACTTTTGCCTACTGTCTTCAAAATCTGCGTCGTCGCGGCTGGACACTGGGTTGGCGATCTGGCGCCGCAAGAGGTTCGACCTTTCGCGCACGGCGCGGCTGTCCTTTTGGAGGGCCTGCCATTGTGCAAAGATTTCCTTGATGCGGGCGGGGCTCTTGCTCTGTTGGACGTAATTGCGCTCGCGACAGTTTTGCTCGTGTAGTTCCGGGTTCTCCCTGATGTGTCTGATGTCGATGATGGGTTTTGGCGCAGTCGAGGGGCGCTTGACGTCGGCAAAGGCACGACGTTGGGGTGCCAGGCAGTTAACTCTGCTGATGCGCGGCGTGGGTGAGATTGGCAGGAGGCGCTTCCTTGCTGCCCCTAGTGAGCTGCGCAGGAGACATGTTGGATCTCTCCCCATTTTTGAAGAACGATGACCGGGGAGGGGAGGTTTCAAGACTGAGATTCTAGAGTGTCTGTCTCAATCCTTATTCAAAGTGAGCTGCCTACCCCACGAGGAAATGAGCTGATGTGAGGGCGATGTATTAGTTGTATGAGCCGCTTACAAGCATAATGACAGGGTATCTTTCACTGGTCGATTCGCTCATTTAATGCATATTTAAGGTAAGGAAGGTGGACTGAGCTACAGGTGTGGTCACTCCGCTGAAAATACGTGCAGCAGTGTATCGTCGAATACCTTGACTCTGATTTATTTTCTCTTCACAAGTAAAAGACTAGTAGGCCCTCGGGGTATCAATGCCTTGTTCCACATGCCGGCGGATACTGTTCTCACCGCTTTCCGCCACTACGCCTACCTCGCTATAAAGATCCCCATGCCCCCAACGTCCAATTCGATTGACCTCCGGCTCCGCGCATCAATCCACCGGGGCCCATGCTTTGACGTTGCTGAGCCTTTACGTCGACTTCATTCGGCCGTGAAGCCCCGTTGACCCCCTGTTGTAGCCACAGCTCACGGTCAATGTTGGCCATCGCCATCACTTTGAGCTGGCACGCCAGGCTGGCCCCTCCCCATGGCCCGAGCGAACCCAGAGGCCGGAGGGTGCCTTGGATTCTAGGATAGTGGCTGTCTCGCTTCTTCAGGGAATCCTCGATGACATCCGCTGCGCTTCGAGCTTCATCTTCGCCCGTAACTCTGCCGTCTTCCGTCTCCCTTGCGGCCGACTCGATCTCCGTAGGGCCGTCGGTTGCCCGGCGGCTGCCTCTCTTCAGCAGCGTATTATCCTCGTACTGCTTTGGTGCACGCCCCTGAACGGGGTTCCAGCCACGCTCGTGTACTAATTTTGACAGCTCATCGAATATCCTGCGCCTTAAGCCAATGACTCTGGCGCAGCCGCCAATAAATACAATGCGCGACATACAGACTGCGCGAGCGTCTATGGGAAGTTGGACAAGATGCTGGTAGATGAGGCGATGGACAGGGAGCTCGTCGTCGTCGAAGCTACTTCGTGAGTAATGTGGTGCAAAGTAGGTGTTTTCGCACGGCTCGGACAGTTGTTGAAATGGCAAGCTCAGGTTCTCGGCTGGTTCCACAGATCGAATCACAACCTCCACATTACCATCAGACCGCTCCTCGTCAACGGGCGATGGAGGCGAGTACTCGTCCTGTTCCTCGACTGTGGGCAATGTTTCTCCTTCGGATTTCTGTTGTTGCTGCTGCTGCTGCTGCTGCTGCCGCCTAACACTTGGTAGATCACCACGTTTGACTTGGCGACACCAGACGAGGCGGCAGGCGACTTCTTCGCACTCCTCAAAGCTTAGAGAATGCTGCCCTTGCTCCCGTTCGCGACGAGTCTTATGCGAGTGCGCCGGTGAAGTCGACAGTGCATCCTGCAACAGGTTGTGTGTCTCATTAACTAGCATCTTGCCTGCCCGGGTGGTCCTTGTTGTGCGGATCTCGCGGTATTCATAGACGCTCGTCACACTGGTCTCGGCCCAGCCAAGATCCACAACCAATGCTGACCGAGTGCCAGCTCCCACAACCGACGTGACTGCAGATGACATCAAAGATACAGTTGGTGCCTGAAAGCGTTGGAAAAGAACGTCGAGGGTGGATGACAGCAATGGCAGGGGTATCGACGAGGAAAGAACGAGAGAAGTCCTTCGCGGCCGTGAGTCGATGAGCAGGAACCTGGATGACGGAAATTAGTGATTCGTGATGGACTCCTAGGGCGAGGAAGCCTCACTTGTTTAATGCTTCTCGAATGGACCGATCTATCTTGTCCTCCACGAGCCCCAAGTCAACAGTCCGCACGTCATACTGCCAGAGCTCGTGGTCACTTCCCCAAGTCTTGCCCGTTGGGCGTCGCCGCCAATCATCTTTGTGTTCTGGGTCCCAGGTGCGGAAATCGCCAACACGTCGCACTTGTTCGGGGCCTAGAGACAGTACAGCTTTCGGTGCTGGCTCTCCGGCGAACCCAAGCTTAATGAAGCGAGAACCCAGCTCTATAACGATGTTGTCTTCCTCGGCGCGTAGACTGGATGGGGAGCCGAATGTGGACGAGATGTTGCGAGAAGGGGTGTGTGGACTTGCGGGACCACCGCTGATGCCAGAGCCTGTCTCCGTTCGGATATTGGCAATGGATCGGTGGGCGAGGCTCGGTGCTGCTGACGACGACATCTTGCAGGAGGCGCCAAAGAAACGAGGTAGGGTTGGGAGCGTTGCGCTCGGGTTTAGCAGCCCATGCCTCACGTCTCTGGCCGTCAGAGGTTGCCCTTTACCAATGTCAAGAGACACTGCTTGCGCATTTGATGGCCGAGGTGGAAGGTGGCGGCAACGGGAAGCTCGTGGGATCGTCTACTAATATAATGGTGTGTTGTCAATGGGACAACGTTCTGGGCTGGACCTTTTGTTGTATTTCCGCGCGTATGAGGGATTGGTCGTAAGGCTGAAGTAGATTGGGGGAGCCTGCGCCGGAAGCTCAGAGCTGATCCAATGTACAAGGCAAGGTAAGAAGTAAGTAGTTCCCTACCTAAGACAGTCGTCTGTGAGTGGGGTAAAACACTGTTCCCTAAAATGTATTTAGCAAAAGGGTGTTATTAAAGAAAAGGGGGAGTGGGGTTCTCTGCAAGGTCACTGTCCGTAGTCCCAGTAACCACTTGGAGGTGACCAACTGTCAACGTCCCTTCCAGTCAACACACCGAAAGGCACCTACCTACCCCTCGTCAGACAGATCTGGTATTAAAGAAATCCTAGGATACGACTTATATATGAGATATTGAGCACAATGATTCGCCTCTAGCGGGTCCTTTGGGAACTCATTTCACCACAATTATTTAACTCTTCTATTTCCAGCGTTGCACGGCTGTCCTTTTTGGCCTATTCCCAAAGTAAGGCTGTCCGAATCGTCGACGCAATCCGCAACCTCCTGCCTTTCGCCCCCCCTCCCCCTCCACTCCTCGAACGGAATTCTACATCCAACAAGTCAGACTCGACACACGGACCTTCTCGTGCCCCCTTTTTCCTTCTTGGCTTAAGTTTTTCTTTCTTTCCTGGAATTCGAGCGATTGGAATATTGCGATGGGAATCAAAGGGTATCTACGAACACCCCTGTCTTCTTCTTACCATCACAGTGGGCTCATACTCATGTCTCAACCATAGCATTTATCGTGAACTTGGGCCAGGCAAGAGAATATCCCTTTCCAAGCTGGCCACGGAGAAACTCGAAAGCACAAGCCGGCCGTTGCGGATTGCCATTGACATTGCCATCTGGCAGTTCCAAACACAAGCCGCACGAGGTAGCGTCAACTCTGCGCCCGACCCCGTCTCTTTAGAGCTGACAAACTTCCTCAGGCGGAACGAATCCTGCAATAAGGACTCTGTTTTATCGCCTAGTGCGACTCCTAAACCTTGGTATACACCCCATTTTTGTCTTTGATGGTCCTCATAAGCCGGCTTTCAAGCGCAATAAGCGCTCCGGCAGAGGGGATGGCGTTGCAACAGCCATGGCAAAAAGGGTCATTCGCCTCTTTGGGTTCCCAGTACATGACGCACCGGGAGAAGCAGAGGCCGAATGCGCTCTCCTACAACAACAGGATATCGTCGACGCAGTCCTAAGCGAAGATGTCGACACAATCATGTTTGGCTGCACTCGAACTCTGCGAAACTGGACGTCAGAGGGGACTCGCGGGGCCAAGACGCCCACCCACGTCAGCATGTACGATGTCGACGATTTGTTGCTTGCTGAAACGGGCCTCGATCGAGAGGGCATGGTGTTGGTCGCACTGATGAGTGGAGGCGACTACATACCGGAGGGTGTACCCGGGTGTGGCGTCAAGGTGGCCTGCGAAGCGGCAAAGGCTGGTTTCGGCAAGTCGATCTGTCGCTTGAAAATCGACGATGATATGCAATTTGAGCAGTGGAGGGAGACGTTACGACACGAACTGCGCACCAACGAGAGCGGCTTCTTCAGGGTCCGGCATAAAGCCTTGTCCATCCCGGATGAGTTTCCGAGTCGCCAAGTGCTGAGGCATTATACCCACCCGGTTGTCTCAACTGTCGCTAACATAAACAAGTTGAAGGCGGGTCTCGATTGGAGTCGCCCGATTGACGTGCGAGGCCTCCGGTACTTTGCCGAGGAGACGCTCGACTGGGTGAATAGAATCGGTGCCACCAAACTCACTCGGGTTTTGTCTCCTGGAGTGCTCGTTCACAAGTTGCTAGAGAGGCACCTTTCCGACCAGGCGAGCAACCAGACAGCAAGGGAGATGGGCGAGGAAGAATCGGAACTGATCAAACGTATAACCGGAACTCGACGCCATCACAGCACCGATGGCATTCAAGAGTTGCGTGTAGCACACATCCCGACTGACATAGTCGGTCTTGACCTTTCACTGGAGCTAGAAGAAGCTGAAGAAGTGCCATTTGATCGTCAGGGTCTCGGGCTCAATAGTGACGACGAGTTCGAAGCCGCCATCGACGGCGAGGGAGATCCAGCGAGCAGCCAAGTCCCGTCAAAGAGCACATTCGATCCATATTCCGCTCAGCTGATTTGGCTGCCCGAGTCGCTCGTCAAGCTGGGCGCACCTCTGACTGTCGAGGACTGGGAGGAGAAGCAGCGCTCCAAGGCGGGCGGTCGTGTGTCTAGCAAGGCCAAGAGCGCCGGTAAGGTTATCAGTAAGAGGAAGTCTACCAAAGCCGCCCCAGCCGAAGCCGGCGCTCTTGATAAGTGGATGCAAATCACAAAGGGCACAACGTCGGCCAAGGCCGGCGCAGCATCGCAACATCACGTAGACGACGAAGACGTCCTCCCGTTAACCCTTCCACCTCGGCCACCTATTCTGAGACCTGATCCATCAAAGACAACGGCAACGTTTCCAACCTTCTCGTCGCAACGACCGAGCCCCTTGCCGAGATCAACCAACCGAAGTAAGCAATCCAGGTCCAACGGGAAAGTGTCTGCCGCCGCGGAACCGACCGCGCACAGTAACCCCTGGGCATACGCTGGCTCACAACATATGCCTAGGATCACCAAGTCTCGGCAGCCCGCAGAGCCGATTCTCCTGTCATCTAGCCCCGTGCGCGTTTCGCCTGCGCCTGCTCGTTCGTCGCTGAGCCCGCCGCGTCCAGCTTCACCTCAGCACATTATTGACTTGTCCGGCCTCGATGGAACGCCCTTCGTCGAGCCCACCCGGGCAACTAAAAAGTCGGACGTGCCTGCCATGCCTGCACCTCGTCTCTCTCAAATCTCCGGGGAACCTCGGCCGACAGAGGGTCCATCACCAGTATTGCCCACCACTCCGTCGAGGAGCCAGCGGGGTTTGAAGCAAACCCGCATGGAGTCATTTGTGACTGGCACCACGAGGCAAACGGAACAGGGAAGTAACCAGAGGCAGCCGGGGATCCAGAGCCACATTCGCTCGGTACCATCCACTTCCACTAGCCAGACTGTCAATGCCAGGTCCAGTTTGAATCTCCGAACGACCAAAGCCGCAGTTTCTTGGATAGACTCTGACGATGATTTTGCGCCGGAGCCCGAAGCAAAAGCTTCGAGAGAGGCCAGGAAAAGAATGGTGCCACGGACAAGCGTCAGCGGATTCTTCCGCGTGGTCGAAGTGAGCGACGAGGAGGGGATAGCCGGATCAAAGGTGACGGCATCGAAGCGCTTAACAAAGGGCACTTGGAGACAGAGCGAGATTTCCATCATAGATCTCACAGGAGACGACGAACAATGATACCCTGTACTACTACCAAGCAAATCAGTCTCATTCGACTAATGAAGGTGGAATATGTCTGAAATCTAATGCTATATGCCTCCTGATTCCAGGCCTTTGCAGTGTCGACGCAGGATGCGGGCTCATCAATGGGTATCCCAAAATATATCCGTCCAACAATCAAATAAAAAGAAAATCGAACAAAAAGGATTAAAACAAAAAGTTGGCCAGTAATTTCGTATATCATTAGACGGAAGAATAACCATTATGCTTCTTCATCTCCTTCTGCAGCCGTATGCAGCCGTGTGCAGCCGGGTATTAGAGCGATTCTTCCGTGTCAATGCTCGCCATGCCATGGGAGGTCGCGATCCCCAACTGTGATGCACGTTAGGTAGCCAATCCCATCGGCGGCCCTCCCGCTGTTAATATCCAGCTCGAGACCGCTGCCCATCAATGGCCGGACAATGTCGCGAGCCATCGACTTCAACTCGTCAATGCGCTTCTCAAAGCGTCGGAGGTTGTCCCGGCTGTACAGCTCAGGTGTCAATTTTAAGAATCGTTTGCACTCGTCATGGCCGAGATAGGCAGATGAGGCGGCGCCCAGTGTGCGATAGGTGCGGCCGACGGTTGCCAACGGCGGGACAGCTGCTGGGAGGGCCAGCTGCTGCGTATTTCCATTCCGACTGTCGCGTGAGCTTTGGGTTCGCCGGTCTGGAGGCGGAGGACTGGTGTTGTCTGCTAGCCACTGACGGAATAGGCTGACGGCTAGCCAGTCCAGATAATTCGTCTGCGGTGTGACACGTTCGCCCCTCGCTGTCGTCAAGTTCAATCGGAAGAGACGGCCTTCGACGCGACTAACCACCTCTTCCAGCTCGTCAACTTTGTCTTCGATAATGTCTAGAACTATATCGGGAAGTGCAGCACGAAGGCTGCGTTCTCCTGCCGGCCATTGCCCGACCACGTGTATCAGGGCCTCCTGAAAGATGACCCTGCTGCGGGCAAGGTAGCCAAGACGTAGGTATGAGATTGGATACTTGGCAATCTGTTTCCATAGTCGCGACTGGAATTGAAGTAGATGGTGGTCGACCCTGGGGCCAACCACGGCCAATGCGTCATACAGGTCCGCCAAGGTGATGAGAGATTTGCATTGCACGTAGGCATCAGCGATGTTGACGCCGTCTAGTATCGGAGAGTGGTTGTAAAAGATGCGGAAGAGGTTGTCGTAATCGCGCAGCAGATCCTGGTCGGCCTGCGCAAGTGGCTGACTTGTCGCTGTCGCCGTCGCTGTCGAGCTCGGCACGAGGCTCAGATTGGCAACGGAGCGGAAGAAGGTATGGTTCGAATGTGCGGACGAGGAATGGGAATGGCCCGACGTCTTGCTCCGCGAATATGTTGCGGGTTGGTCGTTGTTTGCCGCGCTGCCAGAACCAAACAGAGACCCAGAGTTATTGACAGCGCTCAGACCCTTTGAGCGATCATCGGCCTTTTGTACCAGCATTGGTATATCGCCATCCCCCATGCCTGGATCCAATTCATAGCGCCATCGTTTTTTTGGTAGTGCAGATGAACTCGTCAAGGCCCGGCTGGAGGCCAGAGGATTATTGTACGAGTCGACCGAAGACCCGTCGCTAATACGGGCTAGGTCGCTCGAGGTGCCATCGGGAACTGCTTTGGACCACTCAAGACTTGTGCTAGCCTCAAAGAAGCCGGAACATTGAGTGAGGGTGTGGCGATGCAGCAGGTAACGGTTGTGGTGACCACCAGCCTGGACTATGATCTCGACATCGCCCGAATTGTTGAACACGGGAAACTCATTTTGGGATATATAGGATGCACCGCCAACGTGAGACCTGTTGTATCGCTTCGTGCGCGATAGTGAAGGACGCGAAACGACCGAGGAGGGGCCTCGCAGGGTGAGGGAGGACGCGGAGTCGGGCTGCGAGACCATGAAGAAGGCGTATCGAGACCAAGGCCGCGAAGGTCTGAGGAAGGACTGACGGCCTACGGCGGCTTGGACATGGAGGAGCGCGCACTGGGGGTCCCGTTGCGGTGGACAAACAGTAAACGAAGGTGCGACACAAGGAGCGCGCAAGAAGCGCGCAGCTGGCGGAGAGGCGTCGATCAAAAAAATGGACCGAGAGTTGACCACTTTTGTGTGACGGGGAAGCTGCCGCCGGGCTTAAGGGTCTGGGTGGTGATTCTGCGACGGCGGGCGCACAAAAGCAACAACAACGGAGGCGTGCGACAGTTTGACAGGATCGAGCCGAGTCACCGAAAGCTAGAGAGTCCCAAGAACTACGGGATTGCTTGCACCAAGAAAAGGTGAGGAGGCGGGGAGCGGACGGGCGGCTGAATTTGTTCGTGTCGCGATGCGCGGGGGAAGAGTGTGCGTGCGTGCGTGCAGTGCGCCAGTGACGAGGTAAATAGCTGCGATGGCGGGAGCTAGAAACACGGTGTGTGGTGATGGAGAAAGGTAAAAGTATGCCAAGAAGATCAACGAAGAGGCGAAGCGTGTAGAGGATAGAAGCGAGCTTGGTTGAGCTGTAGATGTGTTGATTTGTTGCTGATCTAACGGGGTCTTGGGGCAAGGTAATCAGCACGGAGACAACCGAAGATGGAGAAATCAAGAAGCAAGACCAGACCGAGTCTGAGCCACTGAGGAGGGAGGTGTCTCGAACGGGAAGACGCTACGGATAATGAGCACCCCGTGATACAACTGCTGGCGACAAGACCATACAAAACACTTCAACAATGGCGAGGAGCGTAGATTAGCACAAGCCAAGAGAGTGTTGGCGTAGAGCAGGATGAGAAAATAGCTGTACGATGAGACAGACGTGTTGGACGCGTAGAGCCCAAGAGTGAACGGTGAACCAGGTTATTGCGACGGCGCCGGTGACGAGAAGTGGGACAGGGACATGGTCGGCAAGCTCTGCGGTCAGCAGCTGCCAATAAGGTAGCGAAGACAGGCTTAATGGACGGGCTGCCCTGGGTAAGGAGCTGGGCGAGGGACCTGGAAGCGTTCAGAGAAATCACTGACCAGGTTTGAAGCACCCATAACCCACCAACCAAACGTGCCTTAATAATAATGTAAGTCGGGATGATGGATGACGGGTGACAGATGACGGGTGACAGATGACGGGTGAAAGATGGGTCGATGTGCCCAACCTTTCCAAAGAGCGGGAGGCGACAATCCGCCTTGATACTATGAGGGACACAAAAGGAGGAATCTTGCCCAGCTAGCCTGGCTTCATAGGACGACGGTGAATTCGAAGCTGCGTCTGAGTCTGCGCTCGCCGATACTGGGTGCAGGCCAGTCGCCTCCTCTCATCGTCATCCAACCATTGCTCGCTCTGATGAGGCGAGGAGATGCAGGGGGGATCATCGTGCATGCTGGCAAGGCAGACTGGCCACCGTCCTCCCACATGCACCTCACCTTGGCCACCCCGGGCGCCAGTTCACGACGGGACTTTGCTTGCCCGCAACAGCCTGCGAATGGAACCGAACCAGACCAAGTGCGAAGATAACGGTCAGGGTTAGGAGAAGAAGCCTGAACGTGACAGGATGTGGATTTGAGTGGTCCGAGAGGCGGCATATTGCCCGTTCTTGACGGAGCTCTTGATTACCCGATCCTCATTCCGTGGGCCCGAGCTTCAAGGTTCTGGTCACGTGAATGAGAACGAGAATCAAAGCTGTCCTTGGACTGCTTCCAAGTTCCCAGTTCCAGCCTCCGGATTTTGGCGGCTCCGCTGGAGTCTGTGAATATAACTTTTGATTGGCCACAATTATTACAATAGCTGGGTACCCCGAAACTCAGTTGAGCTTGCATGTCGATCAAAGTATTTCGTCATCTCAGCAGTTTCTTACTGCTTTAGCACCATTCCATTGGCCGCGCTCACCTGCACAATGCCGACTTCTCCACCCACCAGAGCGAGCGCCCCGTATTTCCCTCTCCGAGACGCCAATGCCTGCGGCCAATGACTTCAATGCGTTGCCCGCTTGTCGCAAACCTCCGTGCAGCCCTCACAGACTCGTCGTGTCGCGCAAAGGAGTGACAAGGTACCTAGCTGGAGGCAGGTTCCCCGGGCATCCAATGGTTCCCACTATCCAGCCATCCACCACGGTCCACCACTCACTCCTGGATCACTCCGACGACCCATGTCTGTCTGGCGGCGCCATGCTGGAACTTGCCGTTCTACCACCCCGGTCCACCCGTGACCTTCGTCGACACTGGACGGTAGTTGCGTGTCGTGACCCCTTTCCCTAAGGTCTCGGTCTCACGGTCTCACCCGGGGCGGAGGTGGATGCTTGCCCACTACAGTCTCCCGGGTCTCGTGCTCCAACCTTGAGCCAGCATACCTACCTTAGCTCTGCCCATTGGCGCTCCACTGGCGCTGACTGTCCCTCCTGCCACACTGGACGACGGATTTGGCACTTACACCCACATATTTCCATCGCTGGCTAAAGTAGCAGGCCCGTCCACCTTGTCTCGTCTCGTCCAAGGTCACTCGCGTCTTGACTCGGGTTTGCATCGAGCGCTGTCAGACTTTTCTTGTCTTGCAAACGGCCTTGGACGCCTCGGCAACGCAGGAAATCTCATTCCGAAAAAGACATAGAGCAAGGTATTCTCATGCCAAACATGACTTGCGCTGCGATAATCACCGATTAAACGCCAAACACCAACAGGCGTGTGCTCTGATTTATGATAATCGATAGACGCAAATCAATAGATTGCAAGCGAATGCCACTTTGCTTTCTGTCACTTGTATTTTCTTTGTCTGTTGTGTTTTGCTGGCATCGCAAAACGGCCTCCTCTACGCGATGGCGTAACGTGAAACAAGCAGTAACAAACCAGAATGGTGAATGATAACCGGGTTTCGTTACTAGTGTGCCCAGATTGTGAAATACTTTTTTTTCGCTGGCTGCCATCATTTGCTTGCCGTGACGATGTGATGTACATTCACCCAGATACTCAGACCATCCAACCCGACCCCACCAAGTGAACCTCTGAAGAAAAAGACCATTGCGCCCCCCCAGAGCCTGCCGTTTTGTTATGTGATTCCCAAGGAAATAAAATGAAACTGAGTACGCCGCTGTGGATCGCCTGGTCGCGGTTTACATGACCATATTGCTGTCAGCCTCCATCATGTTGGCTGGTCCTGTTGCTGCCGGCGATTCTGTCGCAATCAAAGTCTCTGAACCATCAAAAGTCGGAGGCGAGCACTGAAGATTCTTCATAGCGCCCTCCGCGTCTCTGCTTACAAGACGGCCTTGACGGAGATCCTCTGCGAAGAGGAAGAAACCCTCCGCGGCCTCGACGAGGTACGATTGTAGTCCCTTGCTTTCCAGCCGAACAATGGCGGAAGAAACAGGGTAATGGTTCTCAATAAATCGGGCCCAGCCGCGTGCCGCGGCTTGAATGTGTTGGTCTTCGCTGATGCGTCTCCAGCCAATGCCGAGGTGAAGTGTGAACTGGTCGATAATTGGTTGCATGGAGTTCTCCAGAGGCAGAGGCTCGGATGTAGACGCCATGGCTGGCTGGGCGACGTCGAGGGTTGGCATGATGGCCTGAGTAAGACGTTGAGACTTGTTGCTACGCAAAGACGGGCGTTGTTGCTGTTCGTGGAGACGTGTGATGGCCTCCTGTGATTTGCGAACATCCTCCTGCGCCGCCTTTTCCTCAACCCAGGTACCAGACTGACTGCTGGCGTCCGCAACGTAGCCACCCTTCTTGATGAGAACCATGCCAGGGCCATACTCCCACTCTTCCTCGGGTTCTTTGGGGGCGGCGTGTGGTTCAGGCTCGTCCGTAACCAGGTTGGGGGCAGCCTCGTCGCGAGAGCGTTTGCGACCGGCGACTCGAAAGCTTGCGGCAGGCTTTGCCGGCGGCGCAGGGCAGCGTTTGAAGGCGGTGGGTTGGCCAAAGGGCGCGGCCTGGGGTGCGTATGGTTCCATGCCGAAGCTCGCTTGATGGGCGGGCTGGGGAGGAAGAGCCATAACGGGTGAAGCAGCGGAAAAAGACCGACCGAAGGAAGACATGGCTGTATTGTTAGACCTGCGCAAGGTAAGTTCAGACTTCAGATTCAAGTAACTCTTTTACGAATCACTACGTGTTAGTAGTTGCAAGACGTTCGTGGTGAGAAGATTGACTGCAAGGTCTGATGGCTGGATGGTTGTGGCGTGTGAAAGGGCCCAAGAACGGCTGCTTCCTTGGTGTATGTCAACAAGAAGGCGATGGCCGGGTGGTGATGGACGATGGGTAGTTATTGGCAGGCAGGTAAAGAAGCCGCGGCCTGGAAATGGTGACAGCGAGCTAGCGGCAGACCCAAGATGATGGGTAGGAGCAGGTTGTTTGAAAGAAGGAGGAGATGGGCAAGGTCGAGGAACCTGTTCAGTACCAGATGAGATGGGAGTCTGAGTAGGCAGGAGAGAAGATGTTAATTGAACAGTGAAAGGCGTCTGACAAGATGGCAGAAAGCAGACATGTAAGAGTTGGCAGATGTATCAGGAAAGACGTTGTCCAAGAGACAAAGACTAGACGAGATGCGGTAGGAGAGTGGATGAACTGGTGAGGAAGAGGGAGGGAAGGGCCGCCAGTAAGTGGACGGCAGCAGAAGGAGCTATCCTTTTGTATCCTACAAGGTCAATTGAGAGACGGAAGGAAGACGCGAGCAACGGGTAATAGGCAGGAAAGGGCCGACGAAAAGGTTTGGAGGGTTGGATGGTGGTAGACAAGGGAACGCCGCCTTCCATTGCGAGCCGTCCTACCCCCGGTCTCAAGTGTTGTTGCCGAGAGACTCTCAGCTTAGGGCAATCTGTTGGAGGTACGTACCTGTCGCTACTTCAACGAGCCTCGTTCCACGATGGCGCGCGAGATTGGGCGTATGGCAGGTCATCTTGAGCACGGGCGCAGGATCCCAGTCCGCCAGACAGGATACTTCTGTTTTGCACGGAGAACACGGGCAGTCTTTGGTGCTCAGGTCCCCACTTGTAAGTTCAGCTCTCAAAATCGAGTTAGTATCTGTCAGCATTTTATGTACCGGCAAACGAGGCAAACTTGGGTCCTTGTTCCCTACGCATCCTTGCCGAATCAGGGCTGGCTGGGAAGCATGCTCGCCCGCAGTTGCTACAGCTGCAGTCTGGCGTCGTATTGCGCCTCGCTATGAAGATCTAGGGATGGGACCTACCCACGCTACCACGATGCGCCCCCGTTTTCTGAATATTCGCTGCTCGATGGCCTCGATACTCGAGGAACGGGACGACTAACGTGACTGCTTAACCACAAGGTACTCAACTCAGCCCTGGCGAGACGGCGTTCGAGTTCATATCTGACGGTGCAGACGCTAGCGGTGTTACAATGTATGGTTTTTGGCCAATTGAAGTAGGTGAAGTCGTGCGTGTGCACAGTCAACGCGTTGAAGCTGGCCTGGGATCCGTGAGTTCGGCGGAGCCACCATCAACGTGCTCTCGACTGTCGACTTTGCGACAATTGTCTTGATTCCATCGCAGTCCTCTTTGTTTTCTACTTGCTACCGAGAGCAGCTGCTTGTCAGGTACTTGTTAGTCTCTGTCTTGCCATGGTTACAGTGTTGGCGACTTGCCAGCGACTCGGCAGTGACTCGGCAGTGACTTGGCACCTTCTCGTAGTCTTTGGGACATGCCTTCCCCCCGACTTGATGCTACAAGGTACGAGGTAAGCTGATTGTCCATGGACGACGGCATTCGTCGTATGAAACCACAACATAATGCTTGTTTGAGCAACCTTCTGAGAGATTCTTCAGTCATAGTGCCGCCAGACAGGAACCCATCTGATCGACAATGTTGCGGCTGGATCCCACCGTCATTCGCGTGACCACCTCAGATGTAAAGCTGTTTGAACATCAGCAAAAGACTGAGGACCGCAGCAGGCGGGGTACCATTGGCCGTTTCAACCCGCAACCATGCAGCAACACAAGTCACCATTCGCAACAACTCGGCTTCCTGCAACACGATGCTGCATCCGCCCGAGAGGTTATTGAGACGTATACCGGTTCACCTGTCCTCGACCCTGACAATGATGATATTGTTGTTATTGATGATGATGATGATGACGACGAAAAGACCAACAGATCCTCCAGTGGCGATGGAAGCAGGACACGGGATGGGCTCTATAATGACCTGACACCGAGCCTATCCACCTCGAGGTTGCCGCTCCCTCTGCCGTTCTCCGCAACAACAAGAGTAACAACATCAACGAACCAACCTGGAAATGTCCGTTGGTGTTCAAGGTTGGGTGCCAGCTAGCAATGGGCTGACCTTCGTTGTCCGGCAGATGATTTGGCTGCCGAGGGACCTGCATTCAAGCGAACCAAGACGCAATGCACATATGGCGCTGGAGACACTGCCAACACGAACACCCGCTGCCCTATATCAAGACAACCACGCAGTGGTAATGCAGGCCTTGCGACAAATAACTATCCACGATGACGCGGAGATGGAGACATCGCAGCTTCAGACGCCAAGCAATCTGTCCGAAGCTCAACACCAAGGACGGCTGCAGGGGGCATATACGGCGCCAAGCAGCAGGCCGCCTCTTCCCCCGAATTTATTGAATCCTGCTTCGAGATCGCCTCGACATGGTGCGAGAGCATCAATTCCTACTGAAGAAATCACTCCCGAGGCTGTCTTGCAACACGGCGGCATGGTAGATTTGGAAGGTTCGGTCTCGCACGGGATGGAAATACGGCGTCTCACGGCAACTTACCGGGACGGACGTGACGAGGGACATGACTCGGCATAATAGAGGCAGGCGAAGCGATGGGAGTAAGGGCTTGGTGCGCAGCTTTTCAAGGCCGCCGGTCCGGCATGAAATTGTCGCAATGATTGGTACATCGGCAGAGGGGTGTTACGGGAGTAAAGAAAGTGCCCGTCGAGCGGAGAGCGGTTTAGTAAGCTACCTTAGCCAAACGTCGCAGAGAGACGAGTGCGGAAAGGCAGCTTGTAAGAGATGACAGATGACAGCTACAGCGGCTGCTCGACATGATAATTTGAGACACCCTTAAGACTCGTCGAATCGTATAGGCTAGTTTTGCAGACTTCCAAATATAATGGTTGAGATTATCACGTTTGTGGAAGCTTTGCTCCGCAGGATACAATAATTATACTGGTATACTCTCACTTCATTGCCCGGCTGTCGTTACCGTCCAGAGCCAGAGGCATCCGGTGATATTCTAGCTAAGCTGAGTGAGCGGGTGTCATTTTCTCATGCATCTGCCACTAACACCAGCAAGAGAAGATGTAGGGGTGGGAGACGTGGTTGGTGGTGGGCTATGCAGACACGCTAGGTAGCATGTGCCCACGCCGCCGCACGCAATCAGCCAACACATTTTGCCCATCGATACCTTACTCCTCCGCTCCCAACTCCGGCCCCCTCTCCGCCCAGGCGAGGAACGATCCCGAGTGACTGACTAGTCCAGTCTCCCCACTTCCGATGAACAATGGGAGTCCCTTCCATTCTGCACCTTTTATTTTCCATTTCCATGACGACACCCCGCTTCACTGCATGGTTGGAAATCTCTGTCTTTCTCTGTTCAAGTGAGAGTTTGTTCTTATTTCGAATACTAAGTGAGCCGTCGGAGATAACTTCTCGCATTGGAGATACTGTTCTAGTTTTGTATTTTCCTACGGCGGCTCTACTGCTTATACCCCTACTTAGCCTTGTACCTATAGACATGACCTCACCCAGCCGCCATGTCCGAACAGAAGCAGAACCATGATAACCTGACGGTTCCTCAAAGTACCGAGCCCAAGGCGAGATATGATATTGAGCCAGAGCACACGGATGAAGCCAGCCAGAGGTTATCGATAGACAGCAAGATGTCCTGGTCACATGACCATGGAAAGGAACTCTCAGCCCTACCAGATCCAGAAACGTTCCGCAGGTACTCTACAAGCCCGTTCCAGAATGGGAGGGCGTCGCCATTACCAGGGGCAGAGTACTCTCCGCCGATATTACAGAGTCCTCAAAAGAAGGGAAAACTGCTGGCATTATGGCAGACCAACAAGGGCGTCGTCTTGGTGGCCTTGTCGCAACTCTTCGGTGCTCTGATGAACCTTACAGCACGGCTCCTTGAGCTCGAAGGCGAAGGGATGCACCCACTCCAAGTGCTTTTCGCTCGGCAGAGCGTCACGATGGTGTGTTGCTGTCTCTACATGTACTACATGAAGACGCCCGACTTCCCATTTGGAAAGAGAGAAATCAGGTGGCTGCTCATAGCTAGAGGCGTGACGGGCTTCTTCGGCATCTTTGGCATGTGGTACTCGATGATGTACCTCCCCCTCGCTGAGGCCACGGTCATCACCTTCCTGGCACCCAGTGTCGCCGGCTATGTGTGCTACCTCGCCCTCCGCGAACCGTTTACCCGAAACGAGCAAATCGGCACCGTGATCGCCTTCTTCGGCGTCGTCCTCATCGCCCATCCGACCTCGCTCTTCTCCGGAGACTCGACGTCCACGGCCGCCGCTACCGCGCCGGAAATCCCGGGCCCGAATAATGGGACGATGACGTCGACGCTACCGGGATTGAACCACCAGGCTACGACGGCGGAGCGATTGACAGCTATCGCGGTTGCGATAGTGGGTGTATTCGGCGCCGCGGGGGCGTTTACGACAATCCGATGGATCGGGAAGCGGGCGCACCCGCTGATCTCAGTGAATTACTTCGCAACGTGGTGCACCATTGTCTGCACCCTTGTGCTCACCACCGCGCCCATGCTCGAGATTGGACAGCCCGCGCTGCGATGGGGCCTGCCGCAGACGGGACGGCAGTGGCTCTTCCTCGTGCTGCTGGGCGTGTTTGGGTTCGTCATGCAGTTCCTCCTCACGGCAGGGCTCGGCACGGATCGGTCGAACAGGGCGAATGCCATGGTGTACACGCACATGCTCTTTGCGGCTGGGTTCGACCGCTTCATCTTCGGGAACGTCATGGGGTGGATGAGCCTCGCGGGCTGCGGGCTAATCATAGGAAGCGCAATGTGGGTCGTACTGACGAAGAGGACACCGGCGCCGAAGAGGGAGGTCGTGGCGGATGTGGAGGTTGCCAACGTCCGAGATACGGAGGCTGTACCGATGTTGGCGGATATGGATGGTGGACGGGATGAGGATTTTGAGCTTCAGAGGGTGAGGTGATGATGTATGACGATTTGACGATGTACGCTGATCAGATATGGGGCCACAAGATGATCAAAAGGAACTCGGGGATTAGATTTACCGGCCAAAGTCTGGCGAGACTTGATAGACGCTTGCAGGAAGGGTTCTTGGGCTAGATTATACCAATATTCGCTGCGGAGCTGGGCAACAGACATCCAAACGTGTTGACGTAGTAGTCCCCACTCAACATGCTGTTTGACGGGGCTTTGCACGACAATTTCACCCGAGCTGTTACTCGACCGAGCCTGTGAGTTGTTAGTACGGCGTGCCCATGATAACGAGCTTGCCAATCTCTTCGAGCCTCCATGCGTAGGTACCTGTGCATAGAGCCTCATTGGGGATAGTATGGAAGGACAGAAGGAAAGGGACAGACCACACATTGTGAGGAAACAAAGCTCTCGCTTTTGGATGAGCACCAAATACCTAAGGTACTGAGGGCCCAAATTATTCCGTACAATAGGTACCCAATCACATCTCATCCTGTAATGCAAATGGCGTTGAAAATGTAGGCTTATGGAAAGAAGAGGTGGATGCGGCCTAACAATCGACGTGTTTGTTTGAAGTCTTGGGAAGAACATCGGGTCGCCGTATCACCTCGCTTCTCGGCGCGAATCTCCTACTTTAAGCGCCCAACTTGTTTCAATCAAAATTCGAATAATGATTTGTGTGCATCAAAGCCCCAGCTTGGGACAGGACAAATAAAAGTGATGTAGAATTTTGGTCAGGAAACACTCACTTCGTCTCCCTACGTGAAGCCGAACTTCGGCGACAGTCTCCGAGCATCGTCGATGGGCCTTTCTCTGGACTGACACCTCAAATCCTCTCCAAGCATATCGTGGCGTGTGCACCCAAGGGGTGACTTCAGGATTCCAGCACGGCGGGACGCTGTTTGTGGGCTATACTGGGTGAAAAGTGTCCTGGTGGGACAGCAGTCTCAACATTCCCGAACGCGGGAACAGAATCGTAATTGAAATTAGCTTTTGAGTCAATTTTGGCTTGCGCACATGGGTTTAGACGGGTTCGATTGCTCATAATGACCCGATGAGAAATTCTTCGATTTGTGAGAGACATTTTGTGTAACGATAGCTTCTTTCCTCTGCGGAATATTCGAAGAAGGTCGGGCGCTGGTGAGTGGTGGCACGTCTTGTACGAAATAAGTGGAAGTCGTTTCGGTCCGTGGATTCCGTGTCGGTCCCTGCTTCGAAATTGTGTACAGCATTCGATTAAGTGACATCCTAGCTCCATCATCTTGTCATGGGAGTTAAAGAGAGTACTATGAGTGCCAATTTAAGTGTTAAAATAGCTTCAATTTCAAAATTTTATCGTAGTGCAAGTAGACAAACAGTAAGGGTTGAGATGAAGTTGAGTGAGGCGCAAACGGGAAGCTATCCACAGGTCACGTGTGGGGTTCCTGGTTCCTAATGTGTTAGTCGGCGCCTGCACTGTGCGCCAGGAAGTTTTGCAGGGATAGAGTGAGGCGCGTCGCCCCAAAATCTTCTAGAGCTTCATCCAAATCTGTCTGACACCAACTACCCATCCTCGACGCCATCGAACAATCACGACCGCAACAAATTTGCCGATAATCCGATCGACTTCCTCGCACACGATTGAATTGTTTATATAACACGAATTGACCGCCGGCACCCGACGCTTCCGCCGTGAAGATGGTCCAAATCAGCGAGGTGAAGGGAAATAGTCGCGAGAACCGCACGGCTGCCCACACCCACATCAAGGGGCTGGGATTGAAGCAAGATGGCACAGCAGAGAAGCAAGCCGCTGGCTTTGTCGGCCAGTCGACGGCAAGAGAGGTGCGTCGACAGTTGATGCTCAAAACCTCATAGTTAGGCAGTCACTAATTTGGCGACAGGCAGCTGGTGTTGTAGTAGACCTCATTAAAGCGCACAAGATGGCTGGCCGCGGCGTTTTGTTGGCAGGCGGACCTGGCACTGGAAAGACGGCTCTCGCTCTCGCCATCAGCCAAGAACTCGGAACCAAGATCCCGTTCTGTCCGATTGTCGGCAGCGAAATTTACTCGACAGAAGTGAAGAAGACGGAGATGTTGATGGAGAACTTCCGCCGAGCCATTGGCTTGAAAGTTAGGGAAACGAAGGAGGTGTACGAAGGCGAGGTTACAGAGCTCACACCTGAGGAGGCTGAGAATCCTCTGGGAGGATACGGCAAGACCATCAGCACGCTCTTGATCGGCCTGAAGAGCGCAAAGGGACAGAAGAAGCTGCGCTTGGACCCCAGCATATACGAGGCTATCCAGAAGGAGAGAGTGTCAGTGGGAGATGTTGTCTATATTGAGGCGAACACGGGCGCTTGCAAGCGCGTGGGAAGATCAGATGCCTATGCGACCGAGTTCGACCTCGAGGCCGAGGAGTACGTCCCTATTCCAAAGGGCGAGGTACACAAGAAGAAGGAGATCGTGCAGGATGTGACGCTACACGACCTCGATGTTGCCAACGCGCGGCCCCAGGGTGGCCAGGACATCATGAGCATGATGGGCCAGCTGATGAAGCCCAAGATGACCGAGATCACGGACAAGCTGCGCGGAGAAATCAACAAGGTGGTGAGCAAGTACATTGATCAAGGTGTTGCCGAGCTCGTCCCCGGTGTGCTCTTCATCGACGAGGTAAGAGAGTTCCGACTGTCTGGTGGTGTCGACTGGGACCGGTGGGGTTAATCTTGAACAACAGGCACACATGCTCGATGTCGAGTGTTTCACGTACCTGAACCGGGCTCTGGAGTCGCCCATTGCCCCGATTGTCATTCTGGCATCAAACAGAGGAATGGCCACGCTTCGCGGTACGGATGATATTGTCGCGGCGCACGGCATTCCGGCAGACTTTCTGACCCGCATGCTCATCATTCCAACCACGCCGTACCAGGCCGATGAGATCAAGCGTATTGTTCGCATCAGGGCCACCACCGAGGGTGTGCCTATTACCGACGCCGCCCTGGACAAGATCGCGGAGCACGGCGTCCGCATCAGCTTGCGGTACTGCCTGCAGCTGCTGACACCCGCCAGGTAAGTTCACGGTGAACTATGACAACTTTGCCTTGTTTCCCACCGCCTTTGCTTCATCCTTTAAAGCTGTTCCCCATCCCCTCCCTGTTGTGGATCATGGATCGACCGGCTAGTGTGAGACATGTGAGCTAACCCCAATGAAAGCATTCTTTCCAAGGCAAACGGCCGCAGCCAAATCGACGTTCAGGATGTGGCCGAGTGCGAAGACCTCTTTTTGGATTCGCGGCGCAGCGCCAGTCTCTTGAGCAGCGAAAGCGGCAAAGCATACATTTCGTGAGACGAGCACGAAAGATAATGGTTGGATGATACGCGAGAAGGAGTCACGGGGACTATGCCGGCTTCTTCCTCGAATGAAGGACGGCGGCGGCGTTGTAAAAAAGAACTTGTTACAATTATCGAGACCAACAGGTAATCCATGGAGTTGTTCTTTGACATGAGATATTCTACTGGGAGAGAGGACCAGTCATCTGTCGAGAAGCGGTCTGGGGGACCCGACTGTATGTGGTTGAATCAGTAAACGGGTGTGGTTAGACGACAGGGCGCAGCGCACGCCTTGAAGCTGCGAGCAAAGGCATTGATTCCTTTTCTCGTTATCCCACTCGGCCTGGCTGGGCGTCCTGAGGTTTGGAGAAGAGAGCGCGCTGTTTGCAAAACAAGACGACTGTCAAGCTTTCCAGATGAGGAAAAAATAGAACCGCCCATCCCGAAAGTTTTGAGACATTACAGGCCGCGAACCAGAAAAATGCAAGTTTAACGAGAGACAATCCACGCACCGCTAATGCCAGTGCCAGTGCCAGTGCCAGTGCTATTCTTCCCCAACTAGATGGGAAAATGCCCTTCACGGCGTCCTGTCTTTTCTTGCTGCTCTCCCAGAGTTCCCGTTCTGAACCCTGGTTCCCCCTTCCCATCCGTCCATACTTTTGCGTCTGTCATCAGAGACATCACCAGCGCCAAACGCATTGTGTCCTGCCGATCAAATTTTAAAATTTCTAGGACCCAACAAGTAGAAGAATGAAGCAGAGGAATTTCCTCATGGACCCAGGTTATCCACCCTTCTCTTCTGTTCATCACGTGGGAGATGTGTCCAACCAACCTAGCCTAATTTCGGCCCGGGTTGAGTGAGGAGAGGGAGGGGGGCAGACTTCTTCCATTGTCTTTGTTCCTTTACCGGGGCGTGCTTATGATTGAACATTCCAACCGGGGAGGACAGCGCTGTCCTCCTCTCGTTGCATTCATTCCTTTGCCGGCGCCTTTAATCTTCTCCCCCGGTACACAGTCCTCATTCTGGTCCTGGCCACACCCACCCCAAGGGTCATTGTTTCTGACGTCCCACCAGCGCAAGAGTCTGCAGTTGGTCTGCAGCTTCCTTTGAAGAGAGGGGCCGGCTGGCAAGACAGGGACAGGAGGAAGAGCCCAGTAGCGGCGGCAGAGGCAGCGGCTGCTGCATTAGTAGCAGCAGCAACACATGCGGGATGGACATTGTGGATGGTCTGGGCTTGACTGTATTGCTGATGGCGTGAAAGAACGAAATGCCTAAAACAACATGGGGGGGAGGAGGAAAATCCGACTGCTTTGAGCAGCACAACGCTTCCCTCGTCTTTCATCCAACCAGAATAAACCTCCACCCTCACCCAACGTGACTTGAACTTGAAGACGAAGGGATATTCTTCAAAGTCGCGTCTCCGTGTCTCGTCGTTGTTCATACCTTTGAGTGATCATTCATCTTTTGCGTCCTCGTCTGGTCGCTCTTGTTACCGCCACATCCTTTCCCGCCTTCTTCGGCTTCATCTTCGGACTTGGGACCCGAAACTTGCCCATTTCTTGTTCTCAAGGTCGGAGGGCGAGAAAGGCATTTGCCCATTCCTTGGCCCAGATTCTCTCTCTCTCTCTCTCTCGCTCTCTCTCTACAACGCTCCATGCGAATGGAACGCCTGGGCGAGTACTAGAGAAGGGGCAGAAAGAGACGACGCGGGCACCGGCCACCACAGGGCAAACGCTTCTTCACAAAGGATCCCATTTTCCTCATCTGCAACGACCTTGGGTCTCCGGTACATTCCCGAGACACATTTCCCACCCCCCCAAGGACCATCATTTTCTCTCTCGCGCGCCTTCAGCTTCCCCTTCTCACCTCTGTTCCATTTCTTCATCTCTGTTCGTTCGTTCGTCCTCCCCGCCTCTCCCTTTGCTCACCACTCAGAACTGTCTCCTTTCCTCCTCCTCGCCGCCGGTTACCCGTCGTTGTTGGGGCTGGTCGCTGTTCGTCGCCGGGGTCTCAACAGCATCGTACCGCCCGCCCTGCCTACCCTGATGCCCTTTCTCCCCCATAATGGCAACCTCCATCTTTGAACATAAAGTCATTGAGTCAGACGGTCATTGTCTGCTCGATTTCTGCTGAATGAGTAGCCGTCGTCTCGATATCACAAAGGAGAAGGGAAAAAGGTCGGAGTGGACAATAAGCCATCAAACAGAGGTGATCTCGGCCCCGTCTCGTCTCGTTCCAATTTCCCGATAACTGTTTCACCTGTCTCTCTCACGTCTCTCAAATCATTGCTGTCTTTCCTGCTCGCCCAAGTCCACAGCTACGCCGATTCACCAACTCTCTTCAAACCCAAATCCAACCCTAGCATCCCGTCGTGTCTCTCTCACCGTCAACAGCGTACATCCACCCCTTGTCTCTTCTACCTACTTCTACTTCTTCAAACGCCCCCTTCCGAAGCATGGTTTGTAAGTCCAAACGTTGCATAGCTTCGAACGCCTCGCCCGCTTGTCCCCATTTCCTACTCGCATCCGTTTGCACACCTGCAAACCCTTCCAACCCAAAAGATGACAGATGTGGTCTACACTTCTCGGCCACAGCGGTCAACCTCTTTCTCCGGGGATATCTCTGTCCACTCGGTCATGGAACGAAGAGCAAGTCAGGATACGGACGAGGGAGCAGACTCCGCAGGCTTTGCTGGCAGTCGCGCGAGCAGAAAGCGTGCTGCGTTCATCGATATCGAGGAAGCGAATAGCCCCAGAGTGAGAAATTTCAGCTTAGAGACTGAACCAATGAGTAGCGAGGGGAGCAAGGACTCTATCTGTCTCTGCACGCCCGCTCTTAAGGTTCCAAGGCCTCGCAACGGTGAGTCGCACATCCTTTTCTCTTCGCCCACCATCATCGGTCGACATATCTTCGTCACAAATCTGGTCTGAGACCGGCCTCCAGGGACTCATCTTTGTCGGACAATCCAAACAGACTGCTAGACACTTGTGCAATGCCCGTTGGCTGACTTGTTCTTTGATAGCCTTTATCTTGTATAGGCAGCACCACCAGGCCCAGGTGATTGCCGACCACCCAGGTCTTTCCAACCCAGAGATATCCAAAATCATAGGAGAGCAGTGGAGAAAACAGGACCCAGAAGTCAAGGACAGCTGGAAGCAACTTGCAGAAGAGGAGAAGCTTCGACACCAACGACAATACCCGGACTACCGGTATCGACCTCGCCGCGGCGGTAGGCCCGGCAGTCGACCAGGCTCGTCGCCCTCGGCTGATTCAGGACAGTGCACCAAGTGCGGTGGCAGATATATCGCAACACTGAGAACACCGTCCACGCCGCTCGGCACACCAACAGCCGCAAAATCGAACATGCAGCCCAACCCCCCGAGCGACATTCGCAGCGGCGACAGCGATCACCTCCGACGTATGTTACCAGGAGGGAACCAGCCTTATCAATACCAACATAGTAACGTGCAGGAGGTGGAAGAAGAGTACGAGCCAATGTCGCCATCTCCCGAGCTCAAACGACGCCGATTCAATGCCGCAGGACATTATCAGGCAGTCTCTTCACCCGGGCCATACACGGGCCATCCTCTATCGAGGCAGCCCAGATCGTCGCTGAGCACGCCTCCCACGCCGCCGGTCGCCAGTTACGGACCGTTGCCCGGCCCATCGTCACTTGCAAGGACCGGGCATGGCAATATGGCGCCCCCTCCACGACCGCATCATCCAGCATACGCAGGGCCGAGCCGTGGCCCGGGTTATGATGAGAGTCTTCGACTGCCACCCCTGCAGACCCAGTCGTCCCCGCCACTCTACAGAGACAGCGATGGGAACGACCGCCCGAGTGCACACCCAGTGACTGGCTTGGGCATCGCAAATTTGAGAGATAGCAATGCTAAAAGCCTCGAGGCAAAGATCATGAAGATCCCTTTCTGGAGCAAGCTCATGGTCTTGCAAAAAATTAGTCCGACTTTGGCTCCGCCGGGGCCGGACAGCCCTGACGTTGAGATTCGTGGCGCAGTCGTCGCCGTTGAAGGAGCTGATCCTCGACAACTGGAGCAGGTGGGAACGGCAGTGCACCGGTCTCTCCTTGGCTTAGGCGAGATCGATCTGAAGACGTGGAGCGATGGACCAAGCACGCCGGTGTCTATCCTATCAGCCGAAGAAGACGTCAAGATGAACGACACCGCCTCTGTTGGCAGCAGCAGGAAGAGCAGCCATTCGCAGCTCAACTTACAAGCCTCAGACCTGTTCTCTGACTACATGGAGACCATGTTGAAGTGGCGTGTAAAATCGCGAGAGATCATCAAGCACGTATCCACTAGGCCGGTTTTCGGACCGGACGCGCCTCCGCTCACGAGACGGGCATCGGAAGGGGAGGCTGTCGGGTCCCGGCACAACTCGATATCGGCACCCTGCATCAGTAAAACGCCAATCGCCCTGCTCCCTGCGGGATTCAGCTTGACCATGTCAGACAAGTACGCTTGCACAACACCCATCAGAGATTCCTACGCCCCGGTCGACCACTGGCAATGGATGTCGACTTTGTGGAGGGGAATCATTGGACCGGACCTCGTCATCTACGTGAATTCGGTGGCGGAGGAAGAAGTTACTCGCGGAGGCGCCGTTGAGTTTCAAGGTCCCGGTGTCATGGTGGTTAGGATTGCGCACCAGAAGTCGCTGGACGAGAAGACCGGGCGGCGCATCTCTTTTGAGGTGGTGGAGTGGATTCGAGGAGGTAGCTACCAGGAGGGATTTGGGCGAGGTTGAGGTTGCCACAAAAGCGAACTTAATAATGTAATGATTTCAACGGGATGGAGTGACGAATTTCCAGATTTTTGCTTTTTTGATTGAGACATATATTTGAATTTTCCTGACAATAGGATAGCGTAGGCGTAGATAGGAAAACCAAAATACTGAGCATACGTACTTAGTTGAATACTGAGACGGCGAGTGCAAGTGTGAATGCATCTGAAGAGGTCAAACCATTTCTCCCTGTGTTGCATCGAGAGCCAATCTGCCGCGCAATGACAATTTCATCGAATAATACGTTCCACGAGTGTTGCGCTGAAGGGTATGAGACTTTCTTTGAAGCCCGTTTGCTTTGTGGTAAGAGAAAGCATTGTCGACTGCCTTACTCTACGTCAATTTATGCAATTATCTTTCTTAATATGGTTTAATTTCATAGGAGGAGTAGCCAATCAGGCGCAGGCTTTGTATTGACATCACCCCAGATGAACCCCTTGTCACCCCCACCTTACCAGTTACTACCTTAGTTGCAGGCGCCAGAGCAGCAGCAAGCTCCAAGCTCCTGCGCGTTTATCCGACTGGGACGCGCTCTGAGTGGCTCCCTAAGTGACATCCAAACACAACGTAATCGTCCAAGTACACATCACGCATCACGACGACGGGGCCTCAACGACTGGCCCATGCCACACGACCACCGACAGTAATTACGAACATGGTTATCTTCCAGTAGAGTCACAGTTGCGAAACAATGTCGGAGCTCGCAATTGGCCAGACGGTGCGTCTATCAGACGGCCGTACTGGCATCGTGCGCTTCGCCGGTGGGACGCATTTCGCGAGCGGCGATTGGGTGGGCATCGAGCTCGAGGATGACAGCGGGAAGAACGATGGAAGCGTCCAGGGAGAGCGGTACTTCGACTGTGTCCTCGGACATGGCATGTTTGTGCGCCCGACGACGTTGGCTATCATCGCCCAGGCGCCTGCTCCGACGTCGAAGCCAGCAGCTCGCAGGCCTAGCCGGCCGAGCAGCTTCAACCCAGGTGCTGGCCGAACGACCAGCGATACGGGACTGACCAAGAGAATGAGCCTGAATGCTCCAAGTCCGAGCCCGGGACCTAAGGCGCCACGGCCGACGAGCACATTGAGGGTGAGTATGCAGATACCTCTGTGTATTAGGAGCAGCGAGTAACAATGTGCGTGCAGTCACCCACCAAGTCACCCACAAAACAGCTCGGATCAGCGACATCGAGTACCGCGCCATCGCGAACCACCACACCGTCCAATACCCGCACACCAGCTGTAGCCGCCAAAACGCGGCCAAGTGTGGGAACCTCTCGTAGTTCCATGGGACCTCCGCCAATACCTACCACCAGAACAACAAGACAGCCCTCAACATCTTCGGCGCCAACACGACCCACCCCCGGCAGGCCAGCGAGTGGTCGACTCTCCATGACTGGACGGACGGCCGGTTCTGCGAGAAGGCCATCCGCGGACCTGGGAGCTGGGAAGAATGCCGACAGCGGCGAAGATGGCGGTGCCACGTCGCCCAACAAAGACGGCGAGACAAGCCCGGTGAGAGCAAGGACAAAGGCTTTAGAGAAGCTCACGTCAGGCTCGGCGTCCACTACGCCTACGAGCTCAACAAAACCAGCGCCAACCGCCCGTTCTACACCAAATGCCGCCGCTGCGAATAGAGAAATAGAGGACCTCAAGGCCAAACTTAAAGTGCTTGAGAGGAAGAGGTTGGAAGACAGGGAGAAGTTGAAACAGTTGGACCAGGTTCAAGGCGAGCGGGACAGGTTCCAGTCGATTATAGAAAAGTTGCAGGCAAAATACCAGCCTCAGCAGAGCGAGAATAATGAATTGCGGAAACAGCTGAAGGAGGCAGAGGAGAGGTTCGAGTCGATCGAGTCGATGCAAATGGAGCATGAGACCGCCCTAGAGCTAGCCACGTTGGACCGCGAGATGGCTGAAGAGACGGCCGAGGTTCTTAAGGTTGAACTCGAGGCTCTGAAACAGAAGTCGGAGGAGCTGGAGCTCGAGGTGGAGATTCTCCGGGAAGAGAATGCAGAGTTCGGCCAGGGCATGTCGGCGGAAGACCGAGCCAGCACCGGGTGGCTACAAATGGAGAGGACCAACGACCGTCTTCGCGAGGCTCTGCTGCGATTACGTGACCTCACACAGCAGCAGGAGGAGGAGCTCAAGGACCAAATTAAGACATTGGAGGACGACCTCCTGGAATTTGGTACCGTCAAGGAGCAATTCAATGCGGCAAAGGAAAAGTTGGCTCAATCGGAGGCTGCCGTTGAGGATCTTCGGCAACAGCTAGACAATGCTTTGGGCGCCGAAGATATGATCGAGGACCTCACGGAGCGGAACATGAGCATGTCTGAGCAAATTGAAGAACTCAAGGCTGTTATCGAAGACCTCGAGAACCTCAAGGAGATCAACGACGAGCTGGAGATCAACCATGTCCAGAACGAAAAGGAGATGCAAGAGGACCTCGACTTCAAGGATAGCGTCATTACAGAGCAGGCCCGACGGGCGGGCGAGCAGGAAGAGGCCCTGGAGGACATGGAATACACCCTGTCTCGATTCAGGGGACTGGTAACCAGCCTACAGAGCGACCTCGAGGACATACGGGCGTCGCACGCTGTGACGGAGACGGAATCCGAGCAGCTTAACAGCAAGTCCCGCGCTATGATGGACCTGAACATGAAGCTCCAGATCTCCGCCTCCAAGGCCCAAGTCAAGACCATCGACCTCGAGCTGCGAAGACTGGAGGCTCAGGAGGCCGAGCAGCACCTGGAGATTGTCAAGATGTTCCTTCCCGACACTTACAAGGAGGACCAGGACTCTGTGCTTGCACTGTTGAGATTCAGAAGATTAGCTTTCAAAGCAGAGCTCCTGCAGTCATTCATCAAGGAGCGCGTCAACGGCCAGCCCCACCCCGGCCACGAGGATGACGTCTTCTCTGGCTGCGATGCCATCGACAAGCTGACATGGGTCGCCTCTATGTGTGAGCGCTTCACTAACGCCATTAGCCACTGCTCGATCGAGCAATTCCAGCGGTTCCAGAACGCCTTGTTCGAACTAGAGCCGGTGGAGCGTGCGCTGAACGGATGGATTGACGGCTTGCGACGGGATGATCTCAAGGAGCAGAAGTGTGCGGACGAACTCCAGCGCACGATCGCGCTCATGTCTCATCTCGCCGAGGTCCACCTCACCAACGAGCTGCCCGACTTCGCCGAGGACACGTACATGCAGACTGTCGTTATGCAGAGCCATCTTGAGTCTGCGGGGGCCACCTTCGCTGCCTTGCGAGGAATGGTACAGAGAGCTGTACCCTCTGAGTCCGAAGACGACGAGATGGCGCAGCACTTTAGCAAGAAATCGGAGTTTGTCGTCACCCAGACCCGGAGTGCCAAGGTCATTGCTGGAAAGGCTGTTCGGGCTCTGCAAGACCTCAAGTCTCGCTCGCTAGCGTTGCCGCAAGAGACGAAGGAATCCTTTGAGCAGTGCCAGGAGGCTACCCAACAGCTGGCGGCTTTGGCTCGTGAGATTGGCTCCGACTTGCATACGCTCCTGCACGAGGAAGGTCGTAACGAGCCCTTCACGTACCGCGAAGTCCAAGACACAATCTCCAAGGCCACCACCAAGGTCACCATGTCGAGCGAGTCCGATCTCTTTTCGACATACCTGTCCAGGCTTCGTACCCTTACTAGCCAGATTTCAGACCTGGCCGCGCTCAGCGCAGATTTATCTCAGACACAAGAGTTTGAAGTCAGCCCTGCACCGTGGAAGCTTCGTTCCCAGGAGCTCAAGGCCATCAAGACGATCCCTGTCGACGCGGAGGAGGAGATGCGCCGCCTTAAGGAGGAGCACAACGAAGCCCGCGTGGCGATTGCACAGCGCGACGAGAATCTCAGCACGGCCAACCTCAAGATCGAGACCCTCGAGTCGAGGATGAAGGACGCCAATGCCAAGGCATCCCGCATCGAGGACCTCGAGGCGCAGATCGAGGCTGCCAAGCAAAAAGCTGCCAGCTTAAAGGAGGACATTGACAAGCAGGACCGCGAGCTCAAGACGCTGGAGACGGACCGCGACAAGTGGAAAAAGATTGCCGGCGACAGCAAGGCTTTCGCCGACGGTGCCGGTGCAGCGGGCGCAAAGGCCGGCCAGGAGCGAGCGGTCGCCACGGCGCGCGAGATGGATGCTCTCAAGAGCGAGATTGCGAGCCTGCAAGCTGCCGTGCGATACCTCCGCGAGGACAACAGGCGCGCCAGGACGACGGAGCAGCACAACTACGATTGGTTGGCCGAGCCGCTCACCAGGTCGCCATCTGTCGTTGAGCAGCGCCGCGCCCTCGTCGTAGCGGAGGGCAAGGACGTTCTCAGCGAGCTGGTCAAGTTCACGACGTCCGCCCGCGTCTATGACCTCGCTGCCCTGCCGGAGGACAAGCTCGCGTGGAAGCCCGCGCGCAGCACGCCGCAGTATCTCGCGGCCAAGCAGAGGGAGGACCTCGCGGCTTGGAACAGCTGGCGGAACTCGGTGCTCAAGAAGTCAGAGGTCGTGCTGGGGCGCAAGGACGGCGCGGCGGCGGAGAAGAGGCAGATGATGAAGAGCGTGGCGGCGAGGTTGCAGATCCGTCTGCCGGACGTGGACGGCAAGACGGTGCCCGGCGGCGGGAGGGATGTGCAGATTATGGGATCGCGCGAGTGGGAGGGGATACAGGGCCGACTGGCGGCAGTATGATTATCAAGCAAGCGACGGTTTGTGGTAAGATGACTAGTAGTAGGATGTTCGATACCCCCGACCGAAATCCCCCAACCCTTATTCTTCAGGTTCTAGTGTCTCATGACTGGGTTCTTTTGGTGCAGCTTTTCCATGGTTCCGCATTTGTCCCTCCGTGACGTCGTTATTGAACGTTGACTGTCGACCTGGTCAGACCTCCATGGCCACGCCTAGCCAGACTTGAATGAGGCCGCCCGCTCCCCCTTCTGGTTCCCCCATGAACCGCACCTCGGTTGAAAGCTCTTTCAATTGACAAATTCCTTCAAGCCTTGCCCTTGCCCTTCTTCTTCTTACCCGCCTTCTCCTCACCGCCGCCACCGCCGCCGCCGCCCAAAGCACCGCCCTGAGCCTGCTGCATCAGCGCCGCCATCGGATCCCCACCCCCCTGCATCTCCTTCATCATATCCTTGAACAGGTTCTCGCTCACGCCGCCGCCCGTCATGGCGGGGCTGATGTACGGCAGCAGCTCGCCCATCTTCCAGCCCCGCGGAACAGCGGGCCTAGGCCAGGGCTTGCTCGGGTCGTGCGCCGGCGCGCCCTGCACGCGCGCCTTGAGCGCGGGGCTGTCCTCCGTCGTCGGGTTCCTGCGCAGGTGCTCGGCGACGAGGATGTAGAGGTGGTGCTTGTTCTTGATCTCGGGGGACCCCGCCGGCCGCGCGGACGCGCTCGCTTTGCCGCCGTTTTGGCCTTGCTGGCCGCCGAAGCGCGTGCGAATCTTGACGCGGCCCGGGTTCGACCAGTCTTTTGGGTGGAATTTGGCGGGCTCAAAGAGCGTGGGGAGGCGGAGGGAGGCGCACGCGTTGACGATTTCGCGGGCAATGGGGTTCTCTACGGCCAGGGACTTTGGCACGCGGCGGCCTTCGGCGCGGGTGCGGCGGGCGTCAAAGTAGACTGGGTAGAGACACTGGAAGTCTGCGTATTGTTTCTGGTCGACGGTCGTTTGGAATTCGGAGCCAGGGGCGCCGGGGCGAGGGGCGGCAGCGGCGGGGATGTTGGAGGGGTTGATTTGAGTTGCGCGGGCGGCGGCGGCTGCTGCTGCTGCTGCTGATGAGGATGCAGAGGATTTGGGCTCGACGCGCCGCATAATGTCGTGGTCGGCGAAGTCGTCAATGTCGCCTTCGGAGGGGTCTGATGCCTCGAGGTCGCTGTCCTCGACCTCTTCTATGCGTGGGTGCGACATGATGTCTGTGTATCTAGTTGGTCGCCGTTCGCCTTTTTGGTAATGGTGTGCCGATTAACCTCGTAAATCGAAGCTATCGACCGCGCCGAGTGCTTTCTGTCGTCTATGCAACCGCTGGTAACCTCGTCGTTGGTGGGTTGGGTCGGGTCGTGCGTGGGATGTGAGGTGAGGATACAGTTGTCGACTGAAGAGGAGGGCTCGCTGCTAGTCCCCTCTGGGATTTTGGCCCAAGTGTGTGGGGTTGGGAAGACCACGGTTCGTGGTGGGGTTTGCTGAAGTGGCGGGGTCCACTATCCGGCCGGGGTTCGGCAGACAGGGCAAGCAGCTTTGGGTCATCTACACTTATCTTACAGCTAGAGCATCATTTAATGGCTCTGCAAGGTCACAGCAGCTTTATTTCGCAATGAATTGATGCCTGAATACTCCTTCAAAGCTTCACATGATGGTCAACATTCTGAAGAAGTATCTCAATGTATAGCTAGCTCTATGGAGCGAGCTCGAAGTGGTGCAATTCTCTAGCTGCTAGCGAGCAGGCCAAACATACGCGATTTCATGCTCAAAAGCAATGCCAGTTGCCCACCACATTTTGGCCTCAAGAGCAGATGCGTTGCGGCTCCTAGTGCCACACTTATTTCCCCCGTGCCAAGGCAAACACACACACCCTCCCTCTCTCTCTCTCTCTCTCTCTCTGTCCCTGGCCCCTGGAAAACCAGTCTCTCAAAGCTTCTCAGTTTTCGTGAATCTTGGCGTTCTTGAACTTTGTGCCAGGAGGATGATCTTCAACTCTGAACTTGCAGTATGGGTGGGTGCAGGTGGTACCCATCACACTAGGACACTGCGATGGTTGTTAGCGCAACGGCCTCGCAACCGTAAAAGTTGCAACTTACATGATGTCCGTAGATGCAATTGTCTACGTCGCACTCCTGACCGCTGGTGCAAGGGTTGAGACGAGTCAAGTGGGCAATGGCGTTGATCTCGTCCGCGTTGGGCTTGTACTTGTGTTCAAAGCAGCACTCGTCGCCCTTGGCGCAAGGTCCGCGTAGGTAGTGGTTATTGCACAGCTTGTCCTTACCCGTTCGTTTCTTAATATTATCCAGGGCCGTCGGGTTGATGGGAATGTGAGGATCGATGCCGCGGTCGCCCGGGTTCCACGCGGGTGTTGACGCCTTTGGCTCCGGGGCCTTTCGAACCGGAACATTGACGGATTTGTTGGCCAAAGGGGTCGTGACGACAGGCGGCGGGCTCGCCTTAGCGGTAACTCCGGCCCAAGAGGAGGTTGTCGGGGCAGAAGGCGAGGTCGGCGAAGCTAGGACCAAGGCAGGCGAAGATGTCGAGGCCCTCGATGGAGCCGGATAGAAAGGTGCCGGAGCCGGCACCGACGATCTGGCGTATGCCGCCTCCGCACTGTAGTTAGCAGCGCGGTCGCCACTTCTATCAATGAGCTTTTGGTTTCGGAAAAGGCTGGGCAGCGGGTCGAGGATATGAACGTTGGTGTTTTTTAGCTCTCTGACCGCAGCGATGCCCTCAATTACACTGACTCTCGAACGAGTATCTGCATCCTGAAGGATCTCATCGAGAAAAGGGGCGTAACCCGCATCGTGGGAAATACCTAGCAAAATCTGTCTGCAGTTGTAGTTTCGCAAATGCCAACGGGTGGCCTCTGAGGCAAGGTTAGTCCATCTGTCGTTGCAACATGACGAAAGACATTTGAAGGTATTGTACCTTTGATCTTCGAGTCGGCACGTTCCTTACCGTGACCGACGTCGATGAAATCAAACGAAGCTTTGGCTTGGGTGAAACCCAAAGAAAACTCCTTGAGCTCGGACTCGCTGTCTAGACAGCCGTCTCTGCGCATGGCACGTCCAAGGCCCGATAGGTTGGCGCAAACTTTGGCGACAATTTCAACTTCACTCGACTGGCTGCCAACGTACTCGGCAACGGCGGTTCGGAGAGCGTAAGCGGCTTGCTTGCCGCCCTCGATGCCTTGTCTGATAAACGTTTCTTGAAACTGTTGAGAGGCGCCGCGGTCAGCATCAGGTCGATGCACACTAAGAAGGCAGGTTGGGACCACGTACAAGGAGTCCGTCTCCATCAATTAGAATCAAGACATAGGGATTTCGGTTCTGTGAGGTTTAGTCACTCGGAAAGAAAAGGTGGGGGGAAAGCTGCTGCGCAGCAGGCGATGCCGCTGTCTACCTTCATGTAGTTGTTATCAAAATCAAGGTCCTGCAGCGCCTGCTGCATCTCTCTCCTGGAAGTCGTGGCATGCTCGAGGTCAAGCTTCACATTGTGTAGCTCCTTCTTGAGCATCTGGTTTTCATCGGCATATTGGCCCTGAATTTTTTTGCAGTATATCAAAAGGTCCTGCAGAGTGGGAAATCAAACGAGGTTAGTGTGATGTAACTTTGATCGCCAGGTTCATAACCTTGTTCAGAGGGGCGGGCCATGTTTGGATCAACAGGAACAGCAGTTCGTCGCGTCTCGTGCAGGGAGGTGGGTTGTGTAGACTTGAGATTGTGGCGATGAGGTGAGAGAGTAGGGGATCAGCAGCCCAAGCGCGTCAATGATGATAGCTGTAGCACCAAAGCCAATGCCAAAGTCAACGCCAACGCCAACGCCAACGACGTAATGCACTAGACGCAGTAGCCAACAAGTTGACGACCTTCTTCAAAGAGCTCAATCCGGGGGTGGCTTTGCTGCGGGACGCTACTGGGGAAGGGAGAGGAAGCTTGGTCTCTCTGCAGACGCAGAAGACGCCGTGGAAAGACGCTGAAGATCAAATGGGAAGGGGGGGGGGGGGCGGGGAGCGGAGCGGGGGAGGGCGCGCGGAGCTGCGCCCCCGCGAGACAGGAGCGGGAGGGGGGCCAGGGGCGAGAGGGTGAGGGGGCGGGGGGGGGGCTGGGTCAAACAATAGGTAAGTGAAAGGCGCAAACCCACTTTCATCAGCTGGTCGCTGGCGTTCTGAAAGCCCTGCAATGTCTGATACCGAGTGACAAAGTCCATGATCTCAGCATTATTTAAGGCCATTTTGGTAGACGATTTTTCTTTTGGTGTGCCAGTTCCGATGGCCGAGGGAAACGTGTTGCTCGGCGAGAAAGGAAAAGAAGGCAACGGGGACTGGCTACTGGCGCGAAGGTAAGGTGGAAGAACAGGGGCCAAGTTTGTGTTGGTGTCAAAGGCGGACCTGGCGGTCGTGGTATGGGTGGTGGTGGGCATATTCTTTTTTTTTTTGGTCCCCCTCTCTTGGGCTGACCGGGCTGCTTCTTTTCTGCCGTCAGGACAACGAATGAAAATGAAATAGAGTTGGAGAGAGAAGAAAGCCTAGGGGCGAGCAAATCAAAAAGGTGAGGCGGACGCTGCAGTCCTTGTGTGCCAAAGAGACGAGGCAAGAAGTTGCGGCGGTAGTCTCAACCGCTGTACTCTCTATTGGCGCCGGGATGCAGGTGCAGGTACGGTGGCAGTTGGGTGAGAGTATGTGCTTGGACGGGACGTAGACAACCTTACCTTTGGTTGGGTACCTAGGTAGGGTACCTAGCTAAGTAAAGGTGATAGTACGGTACCGTGCCTGCCTCTTGTGCTTGTGATGCTTGGTGTGATGGCCCAGCCGGATCAGGTAGATAATGAGATGTGCCCTGACGCAGGTGTTGGGATAGCAAGAAATACACCTAGCCAGTGCGCACCTAGCAGGTTCCGTCTTGGCTGGTTGGTGTAATAATCAGGTATGGAAATACAATCTTTTGGAGCTGAACCCTTCACTTTCAGACCTTTGCGTGAGCTGCTGGATGAAAAATGAGGGCCGTGCAGCAGAAAGCTTAGGCTGGTGGGTTGGGAGTAAGGTAGGTAACAAAAATGTAAGAAGGGGAAAGCAGAGCGAGATGTAGCCAAAGACGAGCAGGAGAGACAGACACCGGGCTAGCGCTGCTTACTTCTAGTCGATCGGCGATGGCTTTGATAAGGTTGGTAGCTGAATAGGGCTGGGTCTGGGGCTGGAGACGACGTTCAAGATGGTCGGTCAGGCAAGGTACGGATAAATAGGTGGTACCTGAGCCAGACGGTGAGGTGTGGCCGGGTGAAGTTGAAGTAGGTAGTGCCAGAAAGCCTCTGTGGTGGATGGACCGTTGAGTAAGGAGAAGCAAGGCACTGCAACGCAAGGCAAAACGACGATGAGGGATTAGGACGAGAATGGTGAAGGGAGAAGGGCGTATGTCTGAGGTTGACATGAGATAAGTCAATAACGGTGGGTGCCGGGGAGATGGGAAAAAAGGGTAGCTCTCGCCGTCAGTTCTGAATATACGACTGTTTTTTTTTTCCTTGGTTTTTTTTTTTTTTTGGTCTCCCGCGCCTTACGAACGATGAATAAGACGGTCTTTCGGTTTTATGTAGGAGGTGAAAAGAGAAGAAAAAAAACCGAATAAATATTACGAAGGGGCCTGCGAGACGGAACAACGCAGCGACAAACGGTTTTGAGTTTTTAAGATGCCCGTCGTCCGTAGTCTACTTTCTCTCCCGATCGATACCTGACAGTAGGGTGAGAGGAAGAAGCAGCGGTGAAGCAGTAATCCTATATATTGATCTGCTAGGACCCGGGAGACGTAAGACGGGAAGAGCACTCGCCGGGGTGTGGAGGGTGTGCAAACTTCTAGGACTAGGTAAAGTAAGTAGAGCTGGGCCTCTTTAAGAAATTGGAAATCATTCACGTAAAATAATAATATCAAAAAGGGTGGGGAAGATACTTGCAATGCAAAAAAGCAAGCGTCCCATAAGTTGTTGGACACGCCACAATACAAAGGCGTTGGCTGACGAAAATTGATTTTTTTTCTTCCTTGGCAACCTAAGGTAGGTAAGGTATTGGGATTGTGCTGGTGCTGTTGTTACTGCCTGGTCCTCCCCAAAAAATTGTCAAACCGAGGTACCTCAGTATTCGCAAAAAAAA